AGTGTTAACTTATCGATGAAATTTAGCTTTCTAGCACCCTATGTCGAGCCCTGATGTTGATGACACAAGTTATTCGCGTTGCTTTCTCGTTCAATAATACTTTCTCAAAACATTGGTGAAGTTCAGACTTTGCTCATAATTAAACAAAGATGATGCTAACTCATTCAAGAAATCTAAGAGAAAATCATTCACATACATATATATATATATATATATATATATATCATTCGAAAATCTTTTGCAATTCTCTTTGATGATCGATTTATAAATCCAATGTAAATTCTCATTATAACTTACGAGATACTTGATCCTAAAACAATTTGCTCATTTAGATGTAGTACTAATTCATATGTTATCAAATTTTCAGTTTTGAAATTTTATTTAGTTGTTACTCTAAAAATCCCATAAATTTTGCCTAAATAATTATATATATATATATATATATATAAGTTGCCCTATCAAATATGCTTATGGTGGCTCCTCTAGAAGCTAGCTAGCTATTTTCCAAGCAGAACTTAATCAGGAAGTGCATCCCTTTCAAAGATATCTTGAAAAGCTCCCAAAAGGAATCACATATCCTAAATCACCATCTCTATCTTCTCTTTTTAACTTGTTTTTTTCTTATTTTTGGAAGGATATAATGTTAATCTTCCCATACCGGTTTCGAATTAACAGCAATTAAGTGCATTTTATGCGATGGAACAGCTTGAATTATTAAGAAATTTGTAAGAGAAGTCATCAACATTAAAACAAATCCCATATAAAAAGCTGTCTTAGATTGGCCAATGATTCAATATTTACACCTAACAAAAATTTTAAGCATCTTTCGAACGTATCTATCATTAGTTAACATCGCATAAAATCGAATTCGAGATTTAATCTAATTAGATTATATAATCATTTAAAAAAAATAAAGTTTAATAAATTTAAAATTCAAATTATGACATTTGCAATTTTTTTTTAATCTTTAAATTATGAATTTTTTTAGACCAAAAAAAAATCACATCAAAACTTTGATTAAGGCAATTTTAATTAAAAGGATTTAATTGTACTGGAAAAAAGACAACAAAAAAATTCTCAAAGTTGAAGTTCAAACAAAGTTTGTAGAGTTATGGAAGAAACCTCCATTTGTAAGCAAAAGTGGGTATTAATTATTGATTAAGAAATGAAGATCAAAACAGAAGCAAAAGCTCTGTAAAGAGCTTACCACCATTTATGGAAACCCTAAACATTTAGTCATAATAATGTGATTTAACAGATCTTTAAACATTGAAAAAAAAAGAATCATCAGAAGAGCACTACCATTGAGAGAGAGAGAGAACAATGACCAATGGGACATGATTAATTTCAACTTTACTTCACAAATTCAGTATTAGTTAGGTGGAAAATCAGTTGCCCTCAGAAACAGATTAAGAGAAATTCTTTGTCCAGGACTCTTTATCTACTAATGTCTTATAATAAGACAATTATGAGATGGTCACCACTGGTTTTTTCCATCTATGCTTTTCTTTTTCATTCCATTCTAACTAATCTCTGCACTATCTATCTATATTTACATATGCACCAATGTTAGATTACCATCCAGATTACCATCCACATTGCCAAGAAAATGCATTTCTCCAAAATCCCATCATGGAAAGAAGAAAATATACCAATACCATCTTACTATTTTTAGAAACACAATTATTTAAAAGAGATCTAAACCTAAGTAGTGGGAATTGATCACCAGCATGACCTAATTAACTCGAGCACCAAGTTAATCAAGTAATAATATGTAGGTAAGTAAACATATTTAAATACCCGAACATTTGGTTCATTAGTGATGCATGATTTTTATTCAAAACGTAAGTTTCGAATCTTCATTCTTCAAATAAAAAAAATTGTAAACGTATACAAGTAATTGGTGGAGAAAAATATAAGAATAATATTAAGTACTGTTTGAGAAAAACTAAGAATACCAATGAATCCTAAATGCACTTTGGGAAGACATCATCAAACCTATGTTTAGAGGGAAAATAGCAACCCTGATGAGGTACTTCAGGTGCACTGTGTGGTAGCAAGCATCAAAAGGGCAATAATAAGGCATTTATGGTTGGCATAGGATAAAACATTGATGAAAAGATGCTTGGAAAGAAAATGCATATAAAGACATTGCAACACACTGAGATCCAGTAATTGAAAAACTGTAAATACTACAAGTACTATATAGTTTTTTTCACATCTAGCTTAGTAACTTGGCTAGGACAACCTCACCGACCAACACGGTATGAGGGAAAGACCTTTCTACCCTAGATTTAAGTTGGATAACACAATCAACTAACATGCAACAAGACGGCAAATTGGATCACTCATTTCATTTGGATTTCAAAATAGGGTGGTGCCTTTGATTTTTTTCTCTCTCTTTTCCTTGCTTTGAACCCTTAAAAACAGAGTCAACAGTGTTAACATCAACTCCAACTATCTAGGGACCCACAAGTAAATGCAGAAGAAGGAGCATGTGATGAGGAAGGATGATAAAAAAGGCAAATACAATAAAGACGATTGAGGAGTACACACATTATCATTATTAGGACCACTTTTTTTTTCCTCCTTGGCTCTATATTTTTACACCAGAGAGAGAGACCAATGGAATTTAAGAAACATCGGCCCACACCCCTATAAAGTTTGGAAACGAGGTTGACAGTTTATACAGTAGCTAACCTGCCCCTAGTAAGTGCAAACTGCAAACCTCACAGGATACCAGAAAAGAGCCAGCCCACCCCCCCCCCCCCCGCCTCTTTCATAGTCTCTATCTATTGGGTGGAAGAGTTTGGGAGATAATATACATGTATACATATATATGTAGGGTTAACATTTTGCAATAAATGCCACCAAACTTTATAGGCCATGTTAGAGGATCCAAAGGCTTGTTTGGATACCCAGTTCTGTACCAGTAAAGGGTGCATTTCATTTAGGGAATTAAAGATAGCTTAGATATCTTCTCAATATATCCGAGTCAATTCTTCAGACATTCAAGAGTGTCTGATAATAAGATAACCAAACAAGTTTTCTTATATCTTATTCCTTTTCAGCATATATATGTATTTGGAGAATTTTCAAGCTATTCATTGTATCTTATTTCTTAAGATATTCATCCTTTTAAGAAGGAACGAGATTCTCAGTCCAAAGGGATACGTGAACTAAGCATACGATATAATTGCAAAATGAAAACCCATTAAAGAGATACAAGGTGCCCACTAAAATCATTAGTAATCCTTCAAAAATCTCCGATATTCAAACACACTTTTTATTTCCTATTACTTCTTACTTTTATTTCTGTGTTGCTTTCTACCCTTGATTTATTTCTCCTCAACATTGTTTTCAAGAGCTTTCTAAACACCCAAATTGGTGTAATACCATAAATTGATTAGGATCCATGTTTTTCTGCAACGGTAAACTTTTGAGCGTGACCCAAGAGTGAAAGCATCTAATTCATAAATTGCACATAGTTTCAGTCAATTAGCCAGTAATGCAGCATAAAAGAGCAATACATAACCAAAGTAATCAACATAATGAATTAGCAGAAAAATGCAGACCTGTCTGACATTGCAATGGACTCCAACTGTCATTAATGAACTTGTTCAAAAGGCATATACCTAATATTAATTAATCATAACAAAAGCCTCAAAATAGCTATAACAATTGCTTATTGTAATAATATCTGAACCAATTAAATTTTTCACTTGCTTATACAACAGAAAAAGCCCCACACATATTTACTGCAACAATGAGAAGTAAGCAGCAAAGAGCCGTGCAAAACAGGACGAATCTGCCTCTTCTGAACTTTTCACATATTTTTCTCTTTATTTCATTTAGCAAGTGTTTTAAGCCTGGCCTACTCAAATTTACTAAACTTGGGAGAATGATGTAAGCCGCTTGCCTTGGCAAGAGCAATGACTAGAATTTCATATTCATATACATGCCTAGCAAGGTTGGGCCTACAGATCCCTACTTGGCTTGATCTGCCTAATAGTAATATCTTTATATCTAAGATATTTCTAGGAAACATTGTATTTAAAAAAAAAAAAAAGAAAAAAATCAAAATCTAACACAAGAACAAGACCTAGAAAATTGCCATCACTTCACTCAAACCGGTTTAAAAGCATGAACACCATAAGAAAACTAAGTCCAGACAACTCATTGAATCTGACCTGATGCACTGCCAAAGCTTGTTGCCAGGCAGCATGGCACAAGAAAAATTTTCTTCTGCCCTCTACATCAATTTTTGTTGTACACCTGATAAGAGTAACTGCAAGTTGTCTGTAAGGACTAGATGCATTTACAAGATGGCTACCATTCAAATCAAGTAATAGCCATGGCTTACACATTCATTTACTATAGAATCTGGGCTAATTTTGTAAGCTTATGCCCAAGCATCTATGCAACCCTGATAAACTTTTAACCTTACACAAGCATCTTGCATGCATCCCTGATAGTAAACCTGTAAGCTTACACATGCATCAATTCTGCACTCAACTGTGGCAATTGCTATTTGTATCAATGCACAAGGCAACTGGCATAACATAGTTGCAGAGACTTCTTCAACGTAGTTCCATAGTTTTACTGAAGAATGGTACTCTATTCACAGGCATCCAGGTCATAGTGAAAAAATTCAACTATAAGCTTACAATTTCAACAGAAATTTAAAAGCATTTAGATGTAGAAAACTAGAGATTGAAACATATGAACAGCTTTAGTGTCATATCTAAATATTTTTAGCAGGAAAATTCAGCACATAAACTCTTAAGAAAATCCCCTATGAAAACGATGAAAGTTTTAAATATGGTTAGCAAATTCTAGTGATAATACAGGCAGCAAAAACTGAACCTGACATTGCATTACCATTTTTTTGTCAATAAGGAATCTAGCCAAAAGTGAATTTGGCAATATATATGCTCAATTAGCCAATTTTTATGAATTTCCAAAATTACAGCTAAAATCAGTAATAGATTCAATCACATCTATAAGCTATGTTTCTGTTCAGAACAGAGTTTCTTAAATCTATCTTAAAACATATGGCATCCCAGTAGTTTATAACACGCTACCATACAATGGAAATGATGGCATCCAGTGAGTTCTTTAATAAGATATCAAGAGAGTTTAGTTTTAGTCAATGATATGGATACAAAAGTAAATTCCTCAAGATTAGATGTCAGTATGATGTAATTAGGATGTCACCCTTCATCACTAACCTCACATAAAAATACCCAACAATGCTACCAAATGGAAAAAAATCTTAATAACATAATATTACTATTATATTTAACTTTAGAAGTATACAAATATGTCACTCTGAAGGGGAAAAGAAAGAAAGAACGAGAGAAAGAAATTACAAAAGGAAAAACCCCCAAAAAGCAAATTTCATCTAAAGGTTCTATGCACATAGGTATTATATTTGCTTAAAGAACTATGAAAGTAGAATCTTTAGTAAGTGGCTAAGTGCACCAGCAAGAAAGAAGTCATCTTAGCCTTTCTTGTTGGCTCCAAGAAGCGTAGGTCTCCTCAATGTATCGTGTGAGGAGTGAAATTCCATAATGTGAGGCACTTGAGGCAGCATAATAGGAAGTCACAGTGAGTTGAGTAAACTTTGGAAGTGCATATCCTACAATTCACATATCAAGGTCAAATTACAGTCTACCAGAGTACCAGTATACTTGAATTATTACAATTTATATATAATCTTAGATGTGCTAACATTCAACAATAGGAAACAACATTCATTAAATTAGAGGACTTCATAAAGGATATGAGGTCCTTTTTTAAAAACCTCGTCAATCACTTTTGATTATAGGCTGCGGTAGATAGCTTCAAGTCATAAAAGAAGTAAGTTTGCAGAACAAGCTTTTTTATCCAAGGTGAGAATTATCTTATAACTACTTTACATCTAGAGTGAAAGGGCACGCTTTATACCTCCAAATGCTGCACTGGCACCCGAAAACATTAGCAGCAGAGGAATCTGTCAACAAACAAGATAATCGAATTCAATCAAGTGAGCTTTAGAATATACGAATATAAGCATTATACAGACATGTCAAAGGGAAGAATGTGTTAGAGAATTGTCATAGATTGAAAGGGTTGGAAACGAAATTTAGAACATAGAAGAGGCATACCCCAGTTACAAAAGGGAGCCACTTTGGTCCCTTAATGTGACTCTGAAGCAATTGGATCCCTGAAAATAGAACATCATAAGAGGTGTGCATGCAAAAGCAGAAATTTTATGAAGAAAATGGAGTCCAAGGATACCTGTGTTGAAACCATGTACCGCACTAAGCATTCCCCCAATACCAGAGCCAGCCTATTTGCAAACAAATACAAATAAGTAACATTAGCTAAGCACTAAACACAACTGACCAAAAAATAAAATAAAATTTATTTTTTTAAGAAAAGGCATTTAAAAAAAATGCAACACATATCACAATTATCTACAATCTTTCTGCAAATACTTAATTCAAGCACATAACAAATAATCTCCAATCTTTCTGCAAGTACTTAATTCATAAACAGTCCAATATGAAATAATTGTCATTTTACGATTATGGTCCACACTATGATGGTCTAGAGCAAGAAACAGCTTAACAGACAAAGACTGAAAATAGCCATATTGTTTTTCCACCTCTAGAAACATAGATTGTCAAAAAAGAGAAACTATTACAATTTCCAATTAATATACATTCTTTCTTATTATAAATAGATTATAACAAGACCAAATTAATTAATAATGATATCTAGAAGATAGAACTAGAATGATTCAAAACTAGAATGATTCAATTGCAGAAAACATAAATTTTACTCTCAATTCTCAAAAGGCATGCCCAACCTGAATAGACACCAACTATTTATCCTACATACAAAAACCATTGGGCTTGAGCTAAAAATCGAGAGGTAGCAGTCTGACATCCCTAAAACCCCAAACTCCATCTCCTCAAGATTCAAACACGAAACCTCCATATTGAAATTTTAAATTCCAGCCATGAGCTACAAATTAAGGGTTAGTGGTCTCACATCTCAAGATTCAAGCACGAAACCTCCTGTTTGAAATTTTAAGTTCTAACCATTGGGGGTATACCATTATGGTCTTTTTTTTTGAACTGCGGCTAGTAGAACCCTATTTTAGATGAAAAAAAAGTTATGGCATCGTAATAGCATCTAGCTAGTCTTAGCTAGGAAATAAATAGTTATCGAATCTCAACTAAAAAATTACAGCTTTCCAGCCCAAAAACAAAGAAGCACGACCCTTCTGCTAAACCAAAAGACCAATTAAAAAGGCAAGTAACCCTATACTACAAATTAGAACATTGGGTTTTTTTTTTCATTTATTTTTCTTCCCTTTTTTGCTTATCATTTGCAAGTAAAACAAAGGCAAAAATAATTGGAAGGAAGGAACTGACCACTGCAGTAGCATCATGCAAAACTGACGTAATTGTCCATTCAGCTTTATCCTGTAAAATACACATACATACATACATATATATAGTATATTAATAAAACAGAAACCAATAGTCAAAGCTTTAAGCTATGAAACAGAGAGAAAAAGAAAAGGAGAGATGAAGGGATTACGGAATCAGGGTATAAGAGAGAGAGGCAACGAGGGCAACGAGCGGAGCCTAAGCCAAGGTTGGTGGTTGGATCATGGTGGAGATTCCCATTCCTTAGTTTTTCCTCGTATACCTCTCTTGTCCCCATTCTTCCCAAACCCTCTCTTTCTTAGAATTAGACGAATTCAAACTCAGGAGGCACAAAACTTCGGTTTCTTTCCGTTGTGTTGGAAGACACCAGATATGGGCTGTCACGGTTTATTTCAAGGATTCCTTGGCCCAATTACTAATAATCACTAGATTAGGCCAGATCCTCAAAAAAGAAAGTGACCCAATTAGGAAGAAATGGGCTCAGGTAGATCCAAATAGGAGAATCTAAGCCCTGATTTTTTAGAGTCCAATAGCTTTACTTTTATATTTATCTGATTTAAAATTATATTACTGTTATAAACCCGTAATTTTTAAATATTAATTTTAATATCATGCCAATTGATTCAAAAATTAATTAATTTTTTATTCGTTTTAATTTTATTTATTTATAATTTTGAATTATCATATTTTGATCAAATTTTAGTGTTAAAAAATATTCTAACAAGAATATTTAAATTTTTTTGTCATTGAATCATATTATAGAAATTAGTACAAATTATATAGAACTTGGGTATTAGCCCGGTTAATTCATACAAGCATCCTTTACGATGTGTTTAGATGAGAAATTTTAAATTTTTAAAGAAATTTAAAATTATGACATTTTAAAATGCATCATTTTAAAATATTAGTATTTATAATTATTTTGTTTGAATAAATATTTTTTAAAAGAAAATTTAGTCTATTGAAATTTGATAAAATAAAAAATATTAATAAAAGAAGAATAAAATAAAAATATATAAAAATGTAATATGCACTGTGAGCATCATTATATTTGTAAAAATATATAGATATTATTATTAATATAATAAATATATATATATGTATATATATTAGAATCAAATAAAATGATATTTTATTTTTTAAGTTTTTTATTTCATGATAGACCATGTGCTGCATTAAAAAGGTCGAATATCCGTACAAATTTTGAAAAAAAATCTCTTCAGTTGGAATTTTCAAAAGGAATTTGAGCATCTCAAAAGTTATTTTTTTTTTAATTTCTCATTTAAATTTTAAATTTCTTTCTTATTTTTACCCAATTAAATAAATTTATTTTCGAAATTTAAAAAACTTTAATTAAAATGAAATCCCTCCTCCAAATGCCTTATCCAAACATATCCTAATAGTTGGTTTCCAACTTGAGATTTCAATCTTAATGCCTACAACTCTTTCATCGTATAGAACATCCCTTCCAAAAAAAAAAAATCATAGTAATAAATAAGTTATTAAAATAATAATAAATATTCCAAAATTAGAAAAAAAAATAAAGAAGGAATTAATGCAAAAAGGAAAAAATTAAAAAATATATGATTTTAAATTATAATAATAATTACTAGAAATTTAAATACTTATAAATATAAATTTTGCTAACATCGTATATATTATCACAAATGAAATTGATATCACAGATTTCTTTTACATTTATATTTATTTAAGAGATATTTTAGTATCGTTACATTGAAGTTTAAATACTTTAATAACACTTTTTATTGAATTAAAAATATTATATCTCTTTGTTGACTAGAAAATATATATAATTTTCTGTTATATTTGTAAATTTTATGATTTAATCATATTTTTTATTATTTGATTAAAAAGTATTTAATGTGTTAGTTTCAAGGCTTAAAAATGTTAAGAGTAATTTGATTTTCCTTAAAATTAATTAAAATATATTATAACGGGTGAGTTGTTTGTTAGTGAATTAATATTATATTTTTTATAATCATTTTATTTCTCAGATATATTGTTCTACTTATTATTAATATTAATCTGTATTAAAATGCATATAAAATATAAATAAATAAATAAAATTTTTTATTTATATTAATTAAAAAAACCCACCGGCCTATTTATAGTAAAGAAACAGAAGGTGACAACTCACGAACACCCAAAAACAGATTATTTTTTAAGTGTTAAAAATTCTTTAAAATCTCAACTCTAGAGCTCTACGTGTCTACCTTCAAAGCCAACCATGGCCTCCTCAATGCTAACAAAGCACAGCTCCATCTTCTTCCTTATTCTCTTCTTCACCATTATCTCCTTATCATCCCTAGCCATCGCTGATCATCAATCAGATTCTGAGGTTTTCTCCAAGTACATATCTCCATCATTTCTAGGGCTGAAGAAAGAGAAACTATCCCACCTTCACTTCTACTTCCATGACATAATCTCTGGGAAAAATGCTACTACTGTTCGTGTGGCCGAAGCACCCTCAACCAACCGTTCCTCAACATTCTTCGGAGCCACAGTGATGATGGATGACCCTTTGACGATCAAGCCCGACGTCAACTCGAAAATCGTGGGAAGAGCACAAGGGATCTATGCATTTGCATCGCAAAGTGATTTTAGCTTGTTAATGGTGCTCAACTTTGCTTTCACGGAAGGCAAATACAATGGTAGCACTCTTAGTGTTTTGGGGCGCAACAAGGTTCTTTCCGCCGTGCGGGAGATGCCAGTTGTCGGTGGCAGTGGGGTTTTCCGGTTTGCTCGTGGCTATGCTCAGGCGAGGACTTACACAAACACTCCAATCCATACCACTGTGGAGTATAATGTTTATGTCTTCCATTATTAGCAATGAATTTGCTTTAATAATCATCTTTTTAATTGTTTCCATTTAATTTTGTTTCATAATAATTCTGTTTCTTAACAGAATTTTGACCAAGCTTTCAAGCTTGGCTATAATAATTCTGAACTTTGTGGAATTAATTAATCTTTAATTTAATCATATATATATATATTTTTTAATTTTACATATATGATAAGATGATAAGTAAGATATGGCATTTGTTGTATCCATTGATGTATATTATATGCTAAATAAATAGATGATTTGCCTTTCAAAGAAATTGACAAAAATTGCCATTGAAAAATAATCATGAAACAAATGAAAGTAGTTTTAATTAGTAAATCTCGAGGATTTTGTTTTATGTCATGGGAGTAGGTCAGCAGTTTCGTGATTTTAGAGTTGATGCTTAACAAACCTTTGAATAATGAGATACATGTTTTATTTTAAAAATAATAATAATAAGCAACATTTCTTTTTAAAAAAAAAAGGAAAATAATATATGATCCTGATTTATCATATGGATTTGTATAAAGCATAATGTATGCTAGAGTTGAATAGTAGTGGTCATAATTTATAAATTTTATTTAGTAGGAATTATTTGAAGTTGTGTAATGATAGTTGTGGTGCCCATGATTTGATGTTATACTATTAAATTTTACCTTCTCAATTTTCTAGGGAAAACCTATTTAACCAATGAATTAAAAATGGTGAAAAAATTATTGTTGCTTTATAAAAATATTAATTATAGGAAGCATATTGACTTTCCTACAACAAGGAAACCGATTGTAGGACATTTTGGTTGGAGCAGTTAGTTAGTAAAATGGTAAATATATATATATATATATCTTAATTTTATATATCCGATTGTATTTTCTAATTCCTTAGTTTGATTTCACTTTGACTTTCATACTCGTTTATTTTATTTGTGGCTTCCGTTCAAAGTGCCAACCACACTATCCATTTATTTTATATAAATCAACATAGTCTTACAATATCTTACATCTTATACAATTCAATAAAGTTGTCCCAAAATACTTCTAATTAATTGGCAGCTAATTAATTGAGGTGCTAGCTGATTGCCGCATGACCATCTTTATTTATTTATTTATTTTGAGATAAAATAAAAAGAAATGAAAACACATAAAGTAAATTACAAAATTTTGGTTGGTAAACAAAAATGTTTTGATTATTTTTTTATTAATATCTAATTTGGCCCTTGAACTAAAATACTTTTTATGATTTAATACTTATAGAAGAAAATTTACAATTTAATAGCCCAACTTTCATTATGTCATGTCATTTGCTCCAAATATATACCAATTCCATTAATAATAAGCTAATGTTTCAAGAAATCAATGAATAAAATCATGACTTGTGACACATTTTTATTGGCTAATATCTATCATATCAATCGTATAGTTTTTTTATAGGTATCAAATTGTGAAAAATAATATAATTTAGAGTCAATTTACACATTATTTTTATTGTAAATTTGTTGTATTTATTCTATGTTTTCTTTTGTATCTTTTTTATAAAAATTTATTAAATTATTTAATTTGAAAATAGAATGACAACATGAAATAAGAAAACAAAATTAAGAAAAAGATTTGGAAAGTTGGTAAATTAAGTAAAAAAAAAAAAAGCTTTGACCATTTTGAAAGGATAATAATTCATAAAAAAATAAAAATGGTTAAGAAATTTCTCAAATAATATTTCATTAAAAAAATAATGAACAAATTAAATAATTATATCAATAATAATATGATTAATGTGACTAAAATTAAAATACATAAATATTATAAATTATTTTAAAACTTATATTTGTTCTATATTATATTAAAAATATTATACGCTAATACATAATAATTTAAATAAAGTATGATATACATTATGATTTTTGTTATTAATAATTGAAATTGAGATTTTCATTAAATAATTTCGTTTTCAATATTATGTTTTGAATGATAAAGTTATTTCACAATTGCATACACTTCTATCATTAAATTGAAGGATTTTGACAACATAAATATTAGTATATGTGCTTGATGCCATCAATATTAATATATATATATATATTATTAATTTAAACAATAAATATCATTAATTGTTATTTTCTATATTTTAAAACATATTTTAAAATTAAAATTAATGATAAAAAAAATATCAATTGATAGTTAAATCAAAAACCAAAGACTTTACCGATTTGATACAAGATATATAAGATCGAGTAAACATTGAACAAATCAAATCGATTCGATATTAAATTTTAAGTATTTATAAATGATCAAATCATTAAATCAAATGCTGTATTTATTAAATATTTGTTACATTTAATATGTAATTACTAAGAAAATCATATTTTTAACAATAAATTTTTTTTTCGATTGAACTGCCCGATTAACCCAATTGGTTCAATTGAATCAAAAACCGATACTCTTATTGGTTTAATCTTCTGCTCAAATTTTTAAACATTTATTAAAATTAAATAAAAAATAATTCTTATTAATTAAATAATATTTTCAATCGAACTCAATCAAATCAGGTAGGTAATCTAATTATTGGACAAGACTAACATCAACATGTGAGAAAAATACAAATAAATTTTCATGTCACTTGAGATGAAATTAGGCATGTTTATAATTTAAATCAACTTGCCTATAGGAAATCACCCAAAACCTACTCTTTAAGAAGACACAAGAGTCAAGACCCTATTACCCGCCAAAGGTGATATTTGCATGTCGTCATTTGTTATGTAGCGGTTTCAACAAGCAACGTAAGAGAACCGTCGTTGCCCCAAACGAGAGGCAAAAAAACTTGTCCACCAGGACATTAATGATGGAGAAGACCGGGGACCAACAAAAGTCAAATCTGTATCCTACCAAATTAAAGATTTGCGAAAGCCCTCACTAAATATTGACTAAAACTGATAGATTAAAATTCAATATAAATGTAATATAAAAATAATATAAGTTAAAATTTTAATAATCATTATATCTAAATTTAATAAATTTTAAAAAATATATATTTTATATTTTTTTATTAACATAAATTATAATATATAATTTTGATATAAAATATAATATAAATACATAAATTTTAATATTTTATATGATAAAAATACATAAATCATCTTTAGCTATCAATTTAAACGGCCATGCCATTTGTTTGTGAATCAAAGCAAAATTTTTCATTGTGGGGTAAATATTTTTCTTTATAAGTATTATGGGAAAATATTATATTTTATTATTATACTCTAATTTTATGAAATTTTGTTATTACAATTTTAGGCTTATGAAATTTAATAAAAATAAAATATAGTCATAAAATTCAATGAACTTGAAGTACAACGAGAAAGTTCATCTTTACCTAAACATAGAGATATGTTAAATTGTCCAAATCTGAAAACACAGAAATAATAATAATAATGTGGGTAAGTAATACAAACTTTAGGATTGATAAAGATTTATTCTTATTTTATATATTTTGATTGACACTTTTTTGGGATTTTAGAGCTGACCATAAATATAATAATCGAAGTAATTACTATAGTGATACTTCTATAGACTTGAGAGAATTTCATGGTCTTACTTTCTTCACAATGTTTTTGAAGAATTAATTGGCTAAATGAAAAGATAATTTGAAAATGAAACATATGCTTAAAATATATAAAACAGATAGTAAGAATTGGATGTGGAAAATCGCCTTAGCAGTAAGCAATTTTTTTTTTGGCTACTTATTTTAGTTTTATGATCATACTTAAGTAGAGAAGATTTTGTTATATTTATGTGCTTAGATTACCTAATAAAAAATGTGAAAATTTTTATTTTCACTAATATTTTAAAATTTTATAAGAACATTTAATCTAAAATTAATTTGCTATAAATAAAAATATCCATATTATATTTATATGTCCAAGTTACCTGATGTGGAAAATTTTAAATAAAATTAATTTGTAAATGAAAAAGAGTATTGAAGAAGGTTCTTACCCAAAACACAAAGAGATATGTGGTTATTAAAATAAAGATAAAAGAAATCTCATTTATGTTAAATTAAAGGTAATTGATGCCTATCCAAAATTTAAGATGGTCATTTTCAGCTTCATTCACTATCATATTTTAGGGTTTCTTAATAAGCCATTTGTTTCACATGATGAGCCTTACTTTTCCCAACCTTCATTTAGCCTCTTAATCATTCAATTCAAGATGAGTTAATATTTTTATATATTTATTTTAAAAGATCGCTATACTATATAAGGGTTCAACATCTCCCTTTTTCACATAAAATTAATTAAATTGGGTAAATTTTATTTTTCGGAATCTTTCTTTTTCTGCAATTATTTTCATTAAAATTCATCAAATCTCAACTTTTGTATTTTTCTTTAAATTGGTCAATTTAAATAAAAAATTTTTTGTCAACTTGAAGGAAATTGTCGAAAGTATTGAACAAATACTTTTTCTTTCATTTTTGTTTTTGCTAAGATTTTATTTACTATTTCTTACTAATCAAAATAACTAATTATTTTTATTTTAAATTTAACAGAGATTTCAATTTTGATTCGGACATGTGTACCATCAATCATCCTTCCAAATAAATGCTCAATCAATACTTTACAACAACAACAAAATAATAATATAATAAATGATATTGACTTTCAATCAATAAATTTTTCTTTTATCGAAAGAAAGGAAGGAAGAAATTGAAATTTTGAATCCATTTTTTCTTTAACATATGATTTTAATTCTATAATAAGAGATCGTTGTTTCTCATCCTATAAAATTTAACTTTTACTTTTCGAATTCGAAGCTGGTTCGAGTCTTTGGATTCAAAATATAATCAAATTACTCTCTCTTTTTTTTTTTTATTTCCCCTTTCCGGGACAAAATCAACGAAGCATTAGATTTCAAAGAGAAAAAAAAAGACATAAAGAAAATGAAAAACTCAATAGTAAGAGCTAAAAAATCCCTAAGAATGAGACCATCAATAAACATGAATTTTAAATATGATATTATAATACAAAACGAAAATAATATGAAAAAAATTTAAAGATAATATAATTTAAAATTTTAATAAAAATCATAAATAAATTTAACAAAAATATATATTTAATATTTTTTATTAATATAAATTTTAATATATAATTTTTATATAAAATATGATATAAATATAAAATTTTTTAATATTTTATATGATATAAATATATAAATTATCATATCTAACTTTCAATTATCTATAATGGAAGATGACGGCGATTGTATCGCGACGGCATTCCCAGCGTTGAAATCAAGCGAGTGGGAGTGGGTCTTGGCCTGATCGTAGCCACGTGCAAATCTGAAAAACCCACTTCCACCAACGATCGGCATCTCCCTCACCGTAGTAAATATGTGGTTGCGCACTGCCAATTGCCATTATGCTTGAGTGAAAGCAAGGTTTAAAATCATCAGAAGCCCAACTTCTCTTTTGTGACGCGGATACGTAAATTCCTTGTGCTCTTCCCACAAGCTTGGAGATGGACTCTCGCCCAACCACCAGAGGGTTATTCTAAAAATTTAAAATTCAATTTATAATACTTATAATTATTTTTATTTTTAAATTACCTCTTTAAAAAAAATAATGTCATAATAGCTTTAAATTATAATAAAATATTTAATGTGATATTTATATATAAAATTTTTTTAATGTGATATTTAAATTATAAATTTATTTATTAATATAATATTTTAAAATTATTTGTCAAACACATTCATCATTGAAAATTAATAGTGACGGATTTTAACATTTAATTTTGAAAGAATTAATTAATATTATATATATTTTTTCAAATATATATTATTATATTATTAATATAAATATATACATATGAAAGAAACATATTACAAATAATTTACAAAATTAAAAATTTTATTAATTCATAAGCAAATATACAAACAAACATAATACATCAAATAAATAATTTTACTTGAAATTTGTGAACGATTTGAAACATAAAAGCATAAATAAATCAATTGTTAAATTAACTTAAAACAAGATAAAAATACACAAATTAATATTTTATACGACACACATACATAAATTATTAAGTTTTATCTGCTCAAGAAACCACACCTATGCTATAAGGAATTTGGAGTATTTTTAGTTGAATATCGTTAGATGATTTAACTAAGTGAATCAAAATGCATTTACATTGAGAGTAAGAGCCTCTAGATTCATTAATTCTATTAACAGACACCTAGTATTACTTGAGAGTTTCTAACATTTTTAGCCCCCCTCTAACTTGTATTAGGATCCATCTCGGAGAATTAATAATTTTAAAAATGAATATCATATTAATAATTTAAATATTACATTATTTATTTTTATGTTTTAAAACTATTCATAACATTAATCTTTCTAAAATATTATCAGTGCAAGATCCGTTGTGTTGCCACTGAACGATGGTAGGTAGGTGAGTTATTTTCCTGCCTTCCGCAATAATGGAACCCTCTTAGTCTAGGTGGGTGAATCAGCATTCAGCATGCCACAGCAGACACCAAAAACCAATGACACGAAGACAATATCCTTCACACTTTTGGGGAGCAAAACCTCATGTGATATTATACCTAACTTTGAAGATTTATACCTTAAAATAAGACTTAACATGGGAACATAGAAAAAGTCCTTTTAATTTTTTTCTAAATTAATGTTCAATTTAATTATTATCATAATTTTATGCTTTGGCTTAGTTAAATCATTGAATTACTAATGCTAAAGTAACTCAATAACAAAATATAAAACATCAATTTTTTAGCTATTTTATGAGTTTCTATTACAAGTGTTAACATATGATTAACTATAAATCTAGTAACAATTAAAAATAATAAATTTATTAGTAATTGCACTTAAGTACATCAAAATAAAAGTTCAAATTGATTTCATTAATTTAAACACAAATGTAATGACTTTTTAAAATTTATTATTTGAGAGAAAGGAAGTATATAAATTTGTTGCTTTTAAGTAGGAGATACATGCACACATATAATTGAATCAAATGCTTAAATACAATAAAATTGTAATAACTTTTAATTTTAAAATATTTTAATAAAATTCAATAATTTTGTCAAACTATAACAAGAAAAAAACAAATTAAGTGCAAAAGCTATATACTATTAATTAATAATTATACATATATATATATGAACAATGTTGCATGTACTTATTTCATCCACTCATTTCACTCATTCATTTTTTATTTTAGTGATTTATGTGAAAAGTAATAAAATTTTTATGGGTTATATAAAATTTTGAAAACTTAAATATTATGCGAATTTGTAAAATGAATGTATTAAATAAATGTATATAGCATTTTATTTATATATTTTTTTACATAAGTATCAGTTACTACCTCTAGACTTTCTTATATATGACCTAATTTCCACTCATAATTTTCATTTTAGTAGTGCATGGTACATTTTTTTTTCAAACCCCAAGCGGAAAAAAGAATAGATTTTAGGAGAGATCATATGAATTTCGAGTACCCCACCACCATTGATTCTGCAGCCCAACGTTGACATAGAGAAGACTTTGTACTACCAATCACCAACAAAACCTTTTGGAAACCATGGCTTTTAATTTCAAAATTCAAATGTCCATTCTTCCTCTCACATCTCTCTGCATCTTTCAGTAAATTGTTGATTCGTAGCTTTAATTTCTACTGTAATGATGGCTCAAAACTTATTGAATAAAGAAAGAAAGAAAAGAATGAATTTCTCCCTCCATTTTGTTTCTTGTGAAAGTTGTGCAAACTTTTCAATTGAGGACTTGGCTTATTGCATCACACGCTTAGCTTGGTAAAGGAATAAATCTCTTTTAATTTATAGCATAATTTCATTAATAATTCAGTTGTGTGATTGTGGCAGCCAATTTGCTGAAAAAAAATAATAAAAATAGGATTTAGTGGGCTGATTTGGTATCACGGCAGCATGCTACCATTGGTTAATTTTACAAGTTATTAATGTTTCAAAAATAAACATAAGGTCACTCACCAAGCATCATTTGATTTAGACATTATATTAATTTTCAAAATATAAAATGCTCAATAAAATCTAAAGTATCACCTTTCACTAGCTGGCAAGAAGTAGTCTAACGAAACATTCTCCCATTGACAAAGAAAAAAAAAACTTATAATTTTAACTTCTCATGTTTCAAGTTTCCATGTAGAATCTTATTTGTTTTTTTCTTTTTTACAAAGTTGACCGTGGCCTAAAAATAATGAATAAAATTATAAGTAGAAATTTAAATTTCGATCAGATATTATCTTTTAAAAGTTGTTGTATAAATTAATTTAATTAAATTTCAAATTCAATTGTTGATTGGTTTTATTTAATTAATTTCTTATAATATTCAATTACAATTATAAATTAATTTAAAATATTTTAACATCATAAAAGGAAATACTAGAGCTCTTAACAAAGTTTATTATGGCTCCATGAAAGGTGGCCCAAGACATACAAAGCTAAGCCAGAAGATGAAGTTACACAGAAAAAACAAAACGATCGAACGAAATAAGGAGCATGGGCCACAAAAACTAAAGGCAACGTATTAATAGTGGAAGACGTAGACGTTATACTCAACAACAGCATCCCCTGATTTGAAGTCAATAGTGTGAGTCTTTGCCTGAGCATAGCCACGGGCAAACCGGAAAAGGCCGCTACCACCAACAATCGGCATCTCTCTCACCGTTGAGAAGACGGTGTTTCGCCCTAGAAGACTAAGGGAACTACCATTATACTTGCCTTCCATGAAAGCAAAGTTCATTACCATTAACAAAGCAAGTTCATCTTGTGCTGCAGAAGCGTAAATTCCTTGTGCTTTTCCCACAAGCTTGGAGTTCCGCTCGGGTGCAACCGTCAAAGGATCATCGGCCATCATTACAACACCGAAACCAGTTTGTGATTGGTTTGTCATGGCTGCGCTGGCTACTGGGATAGCTGTGGGATTTCGTCCGCTGAGTATGTCATGGAAGTAGAAGTGAAGATGGCTGAGTTTCTCTTCTTTCTGCAGGCCTAGTTTTGCAGGAGATAGAATGTTTGAGAAGCCATCAGATTTCGCAAAGGCAAGAGTAATTGAGAAGAAGAAGAGATTAAACATAAAAAGGAAGGTGAAGGAGAGTAGTTTTGAGAGGGTTTTAGCCATGTTGAAAACTACAGAGGTTTCAGGCTTATGAAGAACTAAGATTGGGAACACCAATATATATATCTATACATATATATATATATATATATATATATTATAATGAAACAAAAAGTGGGTTCGGTAATGGAATTGAGTTACTGGAGTGAAGTTCCATGGAAAATGGGTTGTTTGAAAGAAAATTACAAGCATGTAATTATTGCTGAAATAAACGAATCAGGCATCAAGCAAGCCAATTCAGAAACAGAAATAATCAAATGTTGAGAAAGTGTCTTTCGCTTCATGGTCTAGTGGTCACAAAAACCTTTAGAAAGACATAAAAATTTGATTTTGAATCAAGCTTCTTCCCCTCTTGTAATAAGGCTTTGCCACCCCTTGAAACAAAAAAAATATGTTGAGAAAGACGACAGCAAAGAACAAAAAGTAGCAAGAGAAAGAAAAGAAAAATTCGAGTTAAGAGTATGATACAGATTTAGCTTTAATTTTTCTTTTATATTTCACAGATAATGATGTGGCTAAATAGCCTATTATGAATAAACCATGATAGCATAACATTCAAAATATTATTGACGGGACCAATAATATATGAAATAACTTCTAATTTTATTTTCAAACTCCTTCCACCGTCGTCCCATGTGAACAAATGAAATTAATCTTTTAATAATTTACTCTAGTTTTTTTGGGCGATGGGATTGCCAAATTCACAAGTCTAACAGCGTACTTGACGCTGCTAAGAAAATGAAGAAAGTCAATTATCAGTCTTTTTTTTTTTTTTTGGTTACATTAATGTTCCACAACAAGCCCCAGAAGGATAAATCTTTACCACCATGAGAGGAAAACAATGTCCAAGCAGTGTGAGCTACGCAAAGAAAATATATGCCTTTTGGTCAAAAGAATTGGATTCCAAGAAATTTCCTTTCTCTTGTAACGAAATCATATTAGATTCCCGATTTACTATCTCAAAATTTTTCATGAAAAATCGAGGTAACCAAATTCATGTCCATTTCAAGATTTCAATAAATAAAAGCACAAAAAATAGCAAAACAATTACTTGGTTTTGGAAATTTCATGAAAGGAGCAAAAAGAAAAAGGAGTTTCTACCATTTCCAAGTTAAGGTATCTTAGCACTAATTCAAGGAAACATAGGCTTAAAGAACAGAAGGTACTCTGATGGAAGAGGAAAGCGAGTAGAGGAATATGGGCAGCTGTCGAGGTATAAAGATGGCCAATTGACCTGTCCCATCGGGCATTTAGGAGTCTTATACACGCCTTTGCAAAAGGAAACAAAGAGCTTGGCCTTGGGGGCAAGGTCCCCACGTTTAAAAATTGTCCAAAAATCTCTCATGTTTTGGAGAATTGAGGGACTTAGGATCAAGGGTTGCTTCTCCTCCTGTAAGTAGACATGTTAATTGGAAATAGTATACGATAATATAATAAAAATATGATATAAAAAAATATAAAAATAACTTGATTTAAATAAATTGTAATATTTTGTACAACAGAAATGTATAAATTATCAGATGTGCTTATAAAATTCTGGTGATATATTGCTTTCCTGGCGCCTCAATGATCAGCTGATGCAAAATTCAGATTCAGGATGTTAACAATTATAGCAAGAAACTCTGGTATGATTCACGTGAACGTGTCACGTGGCCATTACTTTTTTCTTCAAAATCGGTTTATCAAAATTGCAACATCAATATTTTTTAAACCTCAATGATTCTCTTTCTTTTATGTGTGATGTGAGATTAGAGTATTTAATTTATTCTTTTTTTACATTTTTCCTCACTCAATCTCATGAGACCTTCATCACGAAAATTGATTATCTTGTCTACTTTCTTTAAGATGCTTAATGTGAATCAAACGATTTAGAATCTGTTTTGATATCACTTATCACATGATCATTATTCTCTCTTCTCAAAATCGATTTATCAAAGTGTGTAATGCTAACGTTTTTTCAACTTTAATTATCTCTTTTTCATGTCTGATGTGAAATTAAAATACAATGTCTACTCCTTCCTAACAAACGTAAAAGCTTGTAAAAACATTGCAATAAAAAAGAAAAGATGGGATTCTGACCCAATCAAAACATTCCAAAACAATGATTGTGATAGCATATATATTTGTGCAGTAATATCTATATATAAATTAGGTGAAAAATGTAGCTGATTCATTGAAACAATAGCCTCATTTCTTTATATGTTAATTTTCAATAATCTAGTAAACTTCAATCTCAACTCGCTTTAAGAATTTTCAATCATTAAATTTATATAAAAAAATAAAGTATTCTCAATTGATTTAAAATAAATATCAAATCGACTTGAAAATTAGTTGTGCATAACAAATATTAAGATATTATTGAATTGAAAAGTAATTTTTATCTTGAATTTAGATTTGATGATTCATGTATTTATGTAATATAAAATATTAAAATTCATGTATTTATATAATATTTTGTATAAAAATTATATATCATAATATATTTTTTTAATTTATTAAACTTATATATAATTATTATTAAAATTTTAAGTCATATCACTTTTATAATTTATTTTTATATTATATTATATTATATTATCATATCATATTTTATATTATCAGATTTAACATACTCTCCGGCTAACACATGCACTGGATAAGCTTGGATGCCAGGATAGGCCCTCGTGAATGCGGACACCTCCGGCTCTGGTCCATAGCAATAAATATGAAAAACAACCCAAATAGGAACCAAAGCCCAAACCCAAAAAAAGGAAACCCTAAAGAAGTAAGAAGCTGCTATAAAAGGATCACAATTAGGGTTTTGTTCGTCCACGGAGCTCATCGCCACACTGACTTCTTCAAGCGGGCGAGAGAGAAGATAACTTGAGAGAGTGAAAAAAATGCCAGCTGGTCACGGTCTCCGCTCTCGAACAAGGGATCTGTTTGCCAGACCCTTCAGGAAGAAGGGTTACATTCCCTTGTCAACTTACCTCAGGACCTACAAGATCGGTGACTATGTTGACATCAAGGTAAACGGCGCCGTTCATAAGGGTATGCCCCACAAGTTCTACCATGGCCGCACCGGTCGTGTTTGGAACGTCACAAAACGCGCCATCGGCGTTGAAGTCAACAAGCAGGTATAGAAAGGGGTTTTCTTAATTTGGGTACTCTTTCTGTTGAGAAATAAAGTTTTTTTATTCATCGGTTTTTGTTTTATGGGATTGTGGTCTATGCTATTTTTGAGTTTTTCGTTTCATTTTGATTTATTATCTGTCTTTCTATGAATCTCTGTTTCATCTCATGTTTGCAAATGTTGATCATTGATATTCAATTTTTGGTTAGAAAATGGGTATCATGTATTAAAAATATAACATAGGTTCTGCTTCTGATAATCCGATCGGATTTGTTTCTTAACTTGTGTTATTCTGTTCTGCTATGTCTACTTGTGGAATGCAATTTTGCTTCTTTTATCTTAAGGTTAGATTTGCTTGGTTCTTAGAGCAGTAGTATAACATTTGTTTAATTTTATGACATGTAGGGGCTGCTGTCGATGGAAAAAAGTCTAAATTCACTCTTTGAATGAGCTTAAATTTTATGTTTCAATAAAGATGACTTACAATTTTTTGGTAATCATTTTGATGAATCGGCTGTAATGTGCCAGCATTTGAGGTTGTCATCGTATTAGCACTATTGCATTCTTGTCACTTTTGCTGTAGGGCTTGTTTGATTTTTTTGCCTGACTGATATTTTAATCTTGTGCCTTGCTCTCATGTGATCTATGCATGCTTCATATAAGGGAGAATGGAAATTTGTGTACTTGCATTAATATGTTTATGGATTTCAGGTTGGTAACAGGATTATCAGGAAGAGGATTCATGTGCGGGTGGAGCATGTTCAGCCTTCAAGATGCACTGAGGAATTCAAGCTCAGGAAGGTAAAGAATGATCAACTCAAGGCAGAGGCTAAGGCAAATGGTGAGGTCATTAGTACAAAGAGGCAACCTGAGGGCCCTAAGCCTGGTTTCATGGTGGAGGGTGCTACATTGGAAACCGTTACTCCCATCCCATATGATGTTGTTAATGATCTCAAGGGTGGTTACTAGATCTACTCTTTTTGTTCTCTTGTGGTCTTGTTGTTTTGGTTTATTTTTGCCAAACATAAGTGAACTGGTCTAGTCATTTGGATGTGCTGTTTTCATTAATAGTTTTTTTTTTTAAGAGGTACTGCTTCTCCCGAGATTTTAAACTTATCAATCATTTTAGAGACTATGGATGCCTTTAAATGCAAAGTTTATATTTGTTTATGCATTGTTTTTAAGTTCCAAAACTTCACCAAATCTTCAAATGTTCTTTTGAGGATGGAATGGGAGGCTAAAAACTTGATAATAATCCCTTACAATCGAAATTGACAGAATCAGTAGAATATTAATTCTAATTTCACTCTAATTTTCTGAAAAATTTTATGTAAAGGGTCTGTTGCTCGGTTTTCTGCTGCCCTTAACTATCATCAAATCCCACTAACTAATCCAACGATATGCAACAAATTGGCGTATTTACTAATACATTTTGCTCTCGACATCATATCATAAATCAATGTGTTTGGGTTATAGAATTGATTCTTGATGGGATGGGGTAGCTGATAATGCATCTTCTGAGAGTAATCATAATTCCAAAATGAAGGAGAAACAGAAATGGACAGCTCTTGAACCTTGCTGAAACCAGGGCAGTTGAAAAGTATGAAGGTTTCCGTATGCCAAATTGCAGTTTTGAGAAGTACATACAAAGTAAAGAATATGTGCTCAAAGCAAGAAGCTTGTCACAAGTACTACAGAAAGTGACCCGGGGTAGAACGACACCAATTTATTCCTTCTTTGAATGAACACTTTCAGTAATGATTGGTATACTATTTTTTTAAGTTAATCTTGACCGTCTTTATTGGAAGAATCTTTGCCAGTACATAAAACAAGAGACTGCCTTGAGGGGACTCCCAAATCTTACAGAGCAAAATCTTGGAGTCTGGGCCACCAGGAAGATTAAAGATGAGGATATCCTGGATGTTCTTCTCTCTTTTGCTCCTGCTTCTTGCCTCAGGTTGTCTCTTCACTTCAACCTTAATTACAAACTAGTAATTATCTTCATTTTGCTTCTCTCCCTCTGAAATCACTTCTACTCATGCCTTGCACTTAATGAATAACCAAACAAGAAATACATCTAGGATCAGGCAATAAAATGTTAGACAGGATTTATTCATGTGTCGTAGTCTTGCTTTTATATCAGAAAAACACTAGGAAGGACTCATTTCCTAATGTTTTCTATCTCACAAATTTAAAGTTCTTCCAAGTGCTTTTTGAATTTTCTTAATACTTAAGAAGATTTTACGTTTTCTAGCGTTCATTAAGATCAAGTTCTTGTTTCTAGCAAAACTTTCAGAGTTGTGGGGTTGAGAGCATTTTCTCCAGTGATATTATAAGCTGCTATTTGCGTACAGGTGTCTCAAACTGATAATGCTAACTATTCATTTCCATTTTTGTCTCTCATGTTAACAGCCGAGTTTAGCCCCGTCCTGGCTACACGTGGGGTGTACGCGGCAAGGATCCCTGAGCATACATGTCACAAGGTTACTGAGACAAACACGTGCGAGTTGCAGAAATGCATGCAGGAATGTTCCAAGGAACCTGCTGGCGAGGGAGATTGCAGAGACAATATTTGTTATTGCACATACTACTGTAAGGATCCCCCAGTGTGATTCATTTTCTTTCCGCTTCGGCCTTTGTTGTTTTGAGTTTGTGCTAAAGATTAGAAATTAAAGATACTGTTTTCCATGTTCTATGACAGACACTTAACGATGTTTGAGTTACCCTGCGACTCATCAGGGTACAAATGTCTGCGTATGGTTAGAACTGTTCAATGCCTAAATGCAAAATTAACGAAGGAACTATATATAAATGAAAGGTTACTAGAGGAAACAGAAAGCTTAAACCATTTGTTTAAAAAGATTTAATCAATAATGACTTGACCATAACGAGTTTTAGGTTCAAACATTACTTATGGCCTCTCGAATGGATGATTCTTATAGAATATAACATATCTTGTTTTGATCTTTCAAAGGAAAAACCTATTTATCTCCGAATTATAAGAAAATTCATTGAATTTATGAGTGTGACAAATGTTTTCAGCATAAGCGTATAAGAAACGAGACAATTAAGCCCAGTAACGAAGTTCCTCTTAATACTTATTTGCCAGAATTGATTATGTCATGTCTCCTTCACAAGTCCTTCAACTTTTTAGGCATTTCAAGTTGAGGGCATTCTTCTACTTTTGTGCTTAACAGTGAAGCTAAAGTTATGAATTTGAATTTTGAGTCCATGTTCTCATAGGCTCACTCAAAAGAACTACTAGTCATCGACCACGTTTGACTGGCATTAAGTATAATTTTCTTTTTTTTTTTTCCTTTTGGAAAAAGGGGTTACTACAAAAATTTTGAACCTACAATACAAATACTATAAACAAGTATATATATATTTATACTTTTAATTAGAGTTGCTTTGTAATTAAATATATATTTTTGAAGTTCCTAATTTATCTTTAAACATTTTTATCCTATTACATATTCGACTGAAGTGAATATTACGAGCTAAAATTATAGATAAACCTTTGATCAAAATTTCCTCGTATCGTAAAATTCAAAATCGTTTGGACGAAAAAAAAAAATTGTACTATGTAGTTAAGTGAAAAAAAGTGCTTCAAGCTCATATTGTCCTTGTACAGAACAATCTGTGTTTTTCTTAGGAAAAAAAACACTCATTTGAGAATAAGAAATGGATCAATTGAGAGAAAAAGAACAAGTGAAGCAACAACGTTTTGATGCTACTAATTAAATTTTATCAATTAAAAGTTAAAGCTATACTTTTGGTAAACATCAACCAGAGAGAAATAACATGACCCAAATTCTAAACAGGATTCAATGATTGTTGCAATGCTAACCATGCTGATTTGTCCAAACAATTAACAATGATGAAACCTATAATAACAACCAAGGATAAGTTACTTATATTTTTGTGTATTCATATGGATTTATATGGACTGCCATTCCTCATTATATATATATATATATATATTTTTTTTTTACGTGTGATATTGAATTACATAATGAGAGGTAGTTTTCTTCTATTCTTCATCTCACAAATCTTATTTCATTTGCTGTAAAATTTGAACTCATGACTTCTAAGATAAAATCTTAAAATTAAAAAAAAAAAAGTCATGATAAAAAGTTGATATATATAATATCCACCTAGAAAACTAGGGTTGATAATAATATATAAATTTATTGGGTTTTTTATTGGGTTCGAACCTAACTCGATTTTATAGAGTCAAAATTTTTTTTAAACAAAGATAAGATTAGGGAGAGTTTTTTTGAAATAAAGTCTGGAGTTGAGTTTTTTGTAAATCCACATTATATTAATAAAATTATTATACAATACATTAATTTAAGATATTAACTTAATAAAAATATTATATTTACGTATAATTAATATATAATTTATATTAAAAATAATATTTTATAAATATTATACTAAATTAAAATTATTAAATCAAGTTCAAATCGGGTTGAATTTATTACAATTATATATATATATATATGTAGGTTAAGTTATATATAAAAATAATATTTTAATATTCAATATTTATTTTATAAAATTAAATTGAATTGAAAATGAATAAAAATTAATTTCATATCGTCTCAATCCGTTATTATTATTATATAAAGCTATAAAAATCTAATAAATGGTAAGTGCATATTTATCATTTACTAAAAATCTCCGTTTTCACAAATAAAAAGGATTAATAAGGATAGGAATTAACTTGGCCTCAAATCAAAGAACATATATAGCAAGAGATCCGAAAATTTTAAGTCAAGATAGGAATTTCTTGTTTCGCTAGACAAATTGCCCTGTTCCACTCTACCTTTTAAATATCAATCCCACTCTAGTACGGTTTTCATTCTCCCATAAAACTCATTTCTTTGGCTTTCATGATAGATCGTTTCTCAAAAATGTCCAAGCTCTCCTGCAACATCTTCTTTGCCATACTCCTCATTTTCACAGGTTTATTATTATTATTATTATTATTATTATTATTAAGTTGTGTTTCCATCTTCTATAATCTGATCAATTCCATTGTAATTGTTGCAGTTGCCTTGACGATGCATCAAGTCCACGGGCAAGAAATGTGCCATGGGCAAATTCCTGGTAATGGTTCTTGCGATGCTGGAACTTGCAACGGCCACTGTGCTCAATCCTTCCCAGGAAGCATGGGAACTTGCGTTCAAACTTACATCAACCGTTACAATTGTCACTGTACCTGGCCTTGCAGCTAGAGAAGAATATTACTACTCATCTTAATATCTCTTGATTTCGTAATAAATTAAATTTAATTTTGAATATAAAATTTAATTTAATTGATTCATATAATTTCGATAATATTTAATAAATTTAAAATTTGAATTCGAGAATTTTTTTTTATTCTCAAATTATTACCTCTTACGTGTGTGTACATATAAAAATTCATCAACAAATTTTTGTTTTCTTCTTAATTAGATTGAATGGGTAATTATTGCTTTATTTATCTCATAAAAGTCAAACATTACATATCAAGGAAACATTGAGAAAAGATCAGTCGTAGTTGATAACAACAACGAAAGCTCATAAGGAACCTTAAAGAATTAATTCAATGTGGATGGAGTTGGCTTTGCAAGTTTCACTACTTGCCACAAAAAAAAAAAAAATTAATTAGTAACGAAGAGATATTATTTGGTTTAGTGTATAAATTTTATATTTAATATAATTATATTAAAATATCAAATCAAATAAAAAAATTTATATATTTTTAAACTTATTAACGCTCTTCATTGAAAATTTATTTTTTAATAATATTCAAACCATAGAGACAAAGAAATTAAATGTCATAAAAAAAAAAACTTAACACATACATCAAGTACTAAAAAAAAAAAACCCATCAATTTCAAACTATATATATTATAATTTTTTTTACCTGTTCTATTAAAGTTATGTGATGAAAACCAACTAATCTAATTTCATAAATTTCATTTCATTTTTTTTCATCAATATTGAAATTCGAGATCATTAAAATAGAGTTTGAAACTCTACTTGATTATGGTGTCTCTTAAAAAAATATTTACAATTTTAGTCATTAATTGTTCGATATCACAATAAAATTGAATAAAAATGAAGAGATCATATAATTATTTTATTTAATAATGAGATTAGTTATTATATTTATCAATTAGACTATTAGTATAATATTGATGGAATAATTAAAAGATAAATCTGATATAATTTTAAATAAGATACTATAGCAAAAAAAATTTAAAAATATATAAATTAATATAATTTAAAATTATAATATAATAATTTTTATATTATATATATTTAAATTTTTATTTATTTATTATAAAATAAATACGATATAAATATATAAACTATCATATTTATTAAAAAAATTGTGATGTATTATAAAATTTAAACTTGAGTTTAATTAGGGGTGTAAATGATACATTAATATTCGTAAGTTATTCGAATTTGATTTGAATAAAATTCGAATTTGATTTGAATAAAATTCGAATTTGATTCGATTATTATCGAGTTGAGTTCAAACTCGAGTAATTCGACTTATCGATCGAATTGAATTCGAGTATTTTTATATCCGACTTAAGTAGTTCACGAGACTAATTGAACTTTTATATTTAAATTTTTTTATTATTTTAATTAATAAAATATTTTGAATTTTGAGTACAAATAATCGAATTTTTATAAAATATAAAAATCAAGTTTATTTTAACATATTAATCAAATTTAATCGAGTGAGTTTGAATAATTCGATTTCGATCACGAATCGAATTCGAATTAAAAAAATAAAATTCGATTGAATTTGAATCGAATATTAAATATCGAATTGAGAGTCAAATTTAAGCTTCTTATTATATTAATTCAATTCAACACGATTACACTTCCTAAATCTAATAACTCTTAATTGTAAAAAAACAAAAAAGAGGTGAAGATAAAAGAACACTATGACTCCCTCTCCTTCTCTTGTTTATACAAAGAGCTAGCTTCCCGTGGAAAAGGGAAACCCATACAAAGCCACCATCCACTAACCCCCCCCCCCCCCCCAATTTAAAAATCCGTACAAATTATTTTTTCATAACTAATTAGTGCTACTAATTTTTATCTAATTTTCTATTATAAATAGATATATAAAGATTTTCCTATTCACTTCTCTGTAAAACCCTAATATTTGTCATTTGATCTCTTTCTTCCCCCTTTCTTTCCCTCTCTCAAAAATCCCAAAATTTCTGTTCTTTTTTCGATCATTTCTTTTCAAAACCCTAAACTTTGTTCCAAGATCTGTTGTTAGCTTTACATTTCATTTCTTCGAGATTAGAGGTTTTCTAGGGTTTGTTTTGGTTGGAAAAGAGAGGGTGATTTCGGGTCGAGGCTGGCGGGTTTTGAGGTCAAGTAAATGGCGGATCCGCCTGGACTCCGCCCCGATAAGATTGCTCATCGTTTTGAGGACATTTGTAGGTCTGCTACTGCTCTTAGTGTGGGATTGGATTTGATAGGGTTGCAAAGCGGTGACCGTTGCGAACTGTGACACACAAAGGAAGCCGGAGTAATTAAAGCATGCTGAGCGTGCTACGGGTGCACCTCCCTTCTGAAATACCAATTGTTGGCTGCGAGCTCACGCCTTACGTTCTCTTACGCCGACCTGACAAGACCGGTACCACCGATGATGTGCCCGAGTCTGCCCCACTTGATGGTCACTTCTTGAGGTACAAGTGGTAAGTGTTTTAAAATCCGTCAAAAGTGTCATTTTTAAGCTATTTTATGTTTTTTTTTTTTGGGGTGGGGGGAGAGAGGGGTTTTGGTCATTTGGGTAGTTCTCATTTTAGCTAATTGGGGTTTTAGCTAAGCTTATCTGATTTAGTGTTTTTGTTAATATATGAACTTTTGAATTAAAAGTCAAAGTTCTTATTTTTCTTTGGCTTTATTATTTATTTTTGGGGTTTTTGTATTAGTTGTCATGTTGGCCAATTGGATTTTGAGCTAGTTTTTTGGGTGTGTTATTATCTGATTTGAGTTGCTTTCTTTGTGTGATAAGTGTTTGCATTAAGAAAAGTTCTCAGCTTATTTATGTTTTATTAGTTCTTCGGTTTTTTAGTCTTTTGGGTTGTTCTCATTTTGGCCAATTGGGTTTTGAGCTATTTTTTTGGGTGTGATATAATTTGATTGTTTTTAGTAAATAGGGTATATATGATCTTCTTTGTTAGGTAGTTATAAATAATTTCATAAGGGGAAGCGTGCAATTAAGGTTTATAAGTTAAGCTTTTCTGCCTGTGCATTTGGAGATAGTGTGATTGCTTTTGATTTGATTGCAATCCGCCTTTTGTTTCTCTATGTGCCGGATTTATCTTGTATGTTTAGTGATGTGTTTTTGTAATTTTTGAAGGCCTAAAAAGTAGTTTCTTCATTCCGGTTATGGCATTGAGTTTCACATTATTTTGTTTGGTTATAATTGGAATTAGTTTGCACTGCTTTTTTAATTTTAAAAATTAAAGTTATTGCAATCGATCTCTTTGTCATTATCTGCTGTCTCTGCTTAAATTGGAATGATACGTCATAGATACAACATGTCATGATAACTGGACTTTATGATCTAGAATGTTCCATCACTAATAATAATTGTTACCATTGTTTTCATTATTGTGGCCACCCTGGCTCCACTATGTCTGTGAAGATTGTTAGAATGTTTCAACTTAGATTGAGAAGTACTACACTTAAAATCTTGGTCATACAAGGAAAGAATCATTCAGCTGAAAGAGTGGATGCATAATAATCACCCCATGTTAACTATTGAAAAGGTACTGCTGAGGCATTTAATGTGTTACTACCTATGTCAAGCTTTTGCTATTTAAAGTAAATTGCTGGCGGACCAAGTAAGTCTAGTTGCACTAGCAAAATTATTAGAGAATCTTTAAAAGGTAATAGAAAGTTATAGTAGTTGCCATATGTTACATCCAAAAGATAATAGAACTTTATCCTTTGGTTTTGATATCAGTTATGTTTCACAATATAATAAAGATGATTAGTAAATATAAAGTTGAATTAATTGATTGCTCAGTCCTTGGATGGGATTTAGATCTTTTTGTGGTAAGACAAAAATCTTTAACCTCTAGGGGATACTATCTCTGTTAATGATTGACACATGCTTTGGGTGACTTGTCGTTTCACTAAACTCTGAGACAAGGATATTATGCGTTCTTGTTGTAATTGCTGGATTCTTATATTAGAAAAGATATTATTTTGACTGTATCTTGTGTGCCTATCGTAATTTTATCTTTTCATTAGTTTGTGTTGTCTGTTTGTGGGATTAGGTGGAAATTTATTTAGTAAGTTGATTGTTTCAAAATTTTCCGTTTGTGCTACCTATCTGATCCATGTTGCTCCTTTCTTGGTCTGTTTTGCAGGTATCGCATACAAAGTGATAGAAAAGTTGCTATATGTAGTGTACATCCCTCTGAGCAAGCCACATTGCAGTGCTTAGGTTGTGTTAAGGCTAAAATACCTGTTGCTAAAAGTTACCATTGCTCTCCAAAGTGCTTCTCAGATGCATGGCAGCATCACCGTGTTCTGCATGACCGTGCTGCAAGTTCTGTAAACGAAAATGGAAATGAGGAGGAAGAGATATTTGGCCGTTTCAATGGCACAGGGTCTGGAGTTATTAATGCTAGTTTAACTGGTTCAGCATCAAGCACTAGCTTTGCAAATGGTTCAACACCTCTGTATCCTGCTGCAGTTACACAGAGGAGTGGTGGTGAAACCTGGTTTGAAGTTGGACGCTCAAAAACATATACACCAACAGCAGATGATATTGGCCATGTTCTCAAGTTCGAATGTGTTGTTGTTGATGCAGAAACGAGACTGCCTGTGGGACATCCCAATACTATTTTGACATCTCGTGTTATTCCAGCGCCATCCCCTAGTCCTCGACACTTGATCCCAGTTAGTGGAGCTGATATGATGGGACATCTAGATTCAGATGGCCGTATTTCATCCTCTGGAACTTTTACTGTTCTCTCATACAACATTTTGTCTGACTCGTATGCCAGCAGTGAGTTATACAGCTATTGCCCTTCATGGGCTCTCTCTTGGCCATATCGCAGGCAGAATTTGTTGCGGGAAATTGTTGGTTATCGTGCCGACATTGTTTGTCTTCAAGAGGTGATACTTTCATTTATTGTTTGATGATAGTTATTCTTTTCAGAACTGTCATTTTGAACTGAACAGCTTTGAAGTTTAGTGTATGACAAAAAACTGCTTCTACGTTTAAAATCTATTATTTTTTGGGTGGAGATATCTGATCTTGTGCACCTTGATTGGTCTAAATTTAGATATGGGTTTATACTCAACTGTATCCTTTTTGTTTTTTTCCTTTTAGATGGAAAGTGTCTTTAGGTATATTTAGCCTAGAAGCATTTATTTGCTCCTGTAATTTTTTAATCTAAGAGTGAAGATATTGTATGAGCAATGCTAATTAGGAAATATTTGACCCTTCCTCCATTTTTGTTAATAAAGAATGCAGTTTTTAGAAAACAAAGAAGAGACCATAGTTAAATGGGAAGAAATGGTTTTGGATGCCAGAATTTCTTTTTGGGTAGATTCACCTCATAATTAGCGCGAAAATGTCTTCAGCCTTTGAGCATCTAGGTGAATGTTGAACATGCCTCAATATCAACTGCTCTCATCTTTTCAGGTGCAAAATGACCATTTTGACGAATTTTTTGCCCCAGAGCTGGACAAACATGGGTATCAAGCTTTATACAAGAGGAAGACAAATGAGGTTGCTTAAGAACTCCATGATTCTCATCACACTAATTTAGTAACATTGCTCTTTTATGTATAATTTATGTTGTTTATGATGCAGGTTTACAGTGGAAATATCGATACTATTGATGGCTGTGCTACATTTTTCCGTAGAGATAGATTTTCCCATGTCAAAAAATATGAGGTTTGGAAGTATTTCTTGCATGGTATATGGATTTATGCATGCTTTTGCCATGCTAAAGTAAATCATGTCTTTTGCAGGTTGAATTTAATAAGGCTGCTCAATCCTTGACTGAGGTTGCAGTTCAAACTACTCAGAAGAAGGCTGCTTTAAATCATTTGGTTAAGGTAATAAACATTTATAGCTAATTTGGATATATATCCATTCCCTTATGGTATATTCTTTAATGATATCATGTAAATTCTTCCTTGTCTGCAGGATAATGTTGCACTAATTGTGGTTTTGGAAGCAAAATTTAGTAATCAGGGAGCTGACAATCCTGGGAAGCGGCAGCTACTTTGTGTGGTAAGGATTGTTGATTTTATTCTTCTACGCTATATCTTCCTGGCCTTTTCTATTATGGGCTTCTGTAATTTGCATGATTTTACTTTCATGCCTTATTTATGATCAAAACATGATGTCATATTGCTAGTTGTGATTGTTATTCTGTGATTAGCTTTTTGATCAGGGGTTTTTAGTGGGCCATTGGCAAGTTGAACGTGATTTAATCGTGCTGCAGCTGTTCTGCTCTGAAATCAGAAAGGATGTTTGGGATTATCTTTAGCCTTATAGTCATGAATTTAACTAATGGGCTAAGTTACCTGGGTTTCGTCCTATATAATCTAAAAAGAATTAAAATGGCTAGTTTAGCACAACTTGTTGCACATGTTGTAAGAGGAGTAATATTTTTGGGGTCTGCCTAGGTTTGAGTAAAGTAGCCTTGGCTGGTTTCATAAAACTGAAATTGCCTGATTTGTTGCTATCTAGTCCTATCAATTGGTCTGGTAGGCAGGATGGTTCGTCTAAACCATATAGAGGTGTAAACAAAATCTGTGGGCTGCAGGTGGCAGGCTGCTTGTGATGCAGAAAACTGTTGTAATGTACTTAGATTGATTAATAAGCGTACCAATATTTGAATAATAGGATTTTGATTTTTTTACTTAAATGATATAATTTGGTCGGCAGGAAGTTGTCTTGTGAATAATAATCACATTCTAGCAATTAAAAGTATAAGAATCTCATGAAACTTCCCTGTATCTCATTATGACTAATCAAGTCCCAAATTGTATTACATTGAATTGATTATTATATGCTCTCTGTCTCTCTCTGTCTCTCTCTCTCACACTCATATGTGGTTCACATTTTGGTTATTGTAGCCCCCCATCCTTACTCCTTTTGCTCTTTTGTTTTTTCAAATGGGGCTTTTCTGCACGATCATGAAAGTAGACTCATCTAAATGGTGATATTTACTTGTTTATTCATATTCTTTGCAACTCTTTCATAATTTATACGTTCATCATGTAATTTTTCGTACTATTCCTGGTTTTGGAATACAGGCAAACACACATGTAAATGTTCAACAAGAGCTGAAGGATGTCAAAATCTGGCAGGTTCTAATTTTTCTTTAATCTGTATAATTGTTTATACATACATGTTTCTATAATTCAAAATAATTACTGTGTTTTTCTAATGTTAATTTAGGTGCATACTCTCTTAAAGGGATTGGAGAAAATAGCTGCAAGTGCAGACATTCCAATGTTGGTGTGTGGAGATTTTAGTTCAGTTCCTGGGAGGTAAGTCTGTTATGCTTTACATTATGTTAGATTATTTAGTGCTTTAGACCAATTACACAATGTTAGATTATTTATTGCTTCAGATCCCATCTTGTTCGCATTAGACTTTTGCTTAAGTAAATATACTGTTGAATTTTGTGCAGTGCTCCACATTCACTTCTTGCTATGGGAAAGGTAGATCCACTGCATCCCGATTTATTGATAGATCCTCTTGCAATTTTGCGTCCTCACAGCAAGTTGACTCATCAGTTGCCACTGGTAACCTCTCTTCCATTAATGAACTGCTTCAAGAGGTCGCTTATGTTTTTACCCTACCATCATGGTTAATGATGTCTTAAGAGGGTTTTAAGAGAACAATGGAAACAGCCTTGAGTGGAAAAGGGGGCAGGGTTTTTATTTATGCATTATTCTGGGGTTATTTTGACAAAGTAAGGTTTTCGAACAGGTTAGTGCTTACTCATCCTTTGCAAGAGGTGTTGGTCTTGGATTGGAACAACAGAGAAGAAGAATGGACCCCACAACTAATGAACCTTTATTCACAAATTGCACAAGGGATTTTATTGGCACTCTAGATTACATATTTTACACAGGTGGGTCATTTTTTTGAAACAATTGGCCAATTGAATTGTGGGTGTACTACTTTTTAATGTTTCTTGAATGCCATTTTCTCTAGATGTTTGATGTGATTTTTAGTTATTGCAGCTGCTTACGAGTATTTGGTTTGTGCTTTCAGCGGACTCATTAACGGTGGAATCGTTATTGGAACTCTTGGACGAGGATAGCTTAAGGAAAGATACAGCCCTTCCTTCTCCAGAGTGGTCCTCTGATCATATAGCACTGTTAGCTGAATTTCGGTGCATGCCCAGGCTGAGACGCTGACACTTTAAGGTATGCTATTACTACCCTTGATTTTAAATTCCACAACATATACAACTGAGCTTGTGATTCTTCAGTGAAAAGATAAAATGCATATCCATCTAGGTTTATGCATATGTGCTCATGCAATGTGTCTATCTATGCGGTTTGAGGTCTCCTGAAGGCTTTGTTTACTTAATAACAAGCTGCTGCCTGTTGTTTAGGTCTCGGAGATGCCCAAGAAAATGGCCGATGGATACAGATAAGTTCATTGTAAGAAATGGTAGATCATGCTCCCTGCCTTTTCAAGGCATCCCTATGAGGGATCCTTACTGTGATCTGCTTTGTAATATGTCACACCTTTGTTTCATAGAAAAATCATTATGCTTTTTTCATTTTCTTTTTCTTTTTTTTCCAATAGAAATGTCTACCGGCTCGGTATAATTAGCCAATTGTCATTGTACCTCCAAATTCTCTGGAAATCAAGTGGTTAGTGGCATGCATTCCATCTTTAAGTTCAATGTTTCATTTTTGTCTTCAAGGAATGATGTATATATTTTACACTTTTTGCTCTCTCTTGCAACCAAATTCAACCAGATTTGGCTGGGATTATATCTAAAATTTCGACTTTATTCAAAACAAATAAATAATCAATGGTAGGCTAGACCAAGCGGGCCTTAATCCCAAAATTCAATCTTTATTTCACTCAAGCATCCCTCCAACTCCAAACTTAAAATGTGGTCGGTGCTTGTAAACATGGAAGCTCTCAAGAAGGGTGTTTCTGTCTTGCCTCTCCTTATCTCGTAGAAATCTTTAACATGTAATATTTGCCAAGTTTCTTCATCTAAGCAAATTATAATAACATGTATCTTCTTAGATAAATCAGCTCTGCGTTGAGAGCGGCACAGACATCAAAATGAAGCATTTTTTATCATTGTTTATATCAGAATAGAACATCAAGAACATTGATAGAATAATAGAAAATAAAGGCACATTTGCTTCTCCCATAGATATTAATCAATTAGTGAGAGACGTAGAAACATTATTAAAACATGATGATCATGTTTCATTTCCTCCTATATCCCAATCTCTGGTATGTGAAACAAACAATCATTTTAATCAGCAGAATCCTGTTAACAGGAGAAGGCCTGCAGATGCCCATCTCTTCTTTCTTCACCCTATTCCTTATAATTTGGTTGCAAATGTACCTAGACGCACACCATATTACATTTCATCCTAGGCTCCTAGCTATATTGTGCCAAATGGAGCATGCATAAGGGCAGATGCAACCAAGCCTAAATGGTTAGTTTCCTATATCACCCTCCCCAACCACAGCCTCCTTATCAGCGACCAGCAGATAAGTCTAACTGGTTATAGTTTCCTATGTCACCATCTTACAGCCCTCTACAGAACTCGCCAGAATATGACCTATGTCAGAACCCAGATGCAAATTGAAATAGTGAAAATGGAGAAAGAATCCTTGAAATCTGATGGAAAATATATATACTCGTACTCAAGAAAAACAGGAAAAAATAGTCCAGTATAAAGGTGGGACCTAATCCCAAGCACTTGTCACCTCTGGAGCATATCCTCCACCATAATTGCCAGGAACTCCATATGCACTACTACTATTCCCACCACCGTAGTAATCCAGATTCTTACTGAATGAACCCTCCCTTCTGAAATCACGCCCGCCAAAACGCCCTCCTCCAGATCGTCGATTTTTGTTACCACCATAAGGAGCTCGGGATGCATAACGTGTGAGCCATGCAGGTACCTCTTGATTTGCTTCTTGCATTAGCTCAGCCAGTGGCCTTGCCAGTGACAAATCGCTCTCATTAAAGAAAGCTGTAGCCAACCCTGTTTTACCAGCACGCCCAGTCCTTCCAATCCGGTGAACATAATCATCAATGTCATTGGGAAGATCAAAGTTGACCACGTGAGCTACATGGGGTATATCAAGACCACGAGCAGCCACATCAGTTGCTACTAAAATTGGGGTCTTTCCGCTCTTGAAAGATCTCAATGCTAGCTCCCTCTCCTGCATACAAACAAACCCTAGCATTTAAGTAAAGACGTTCTTTCCAGATTAAGGTAAATATTTAGTCTATGGCAGAAACATTGCAACACATCTCAAAGCAGCTATCAACTAAAAAACCTGTTGTACTACTAAGAGGCGGACGCAATAACTTTTTCCTAAACCAAACTTAATCAGACACAAGAAATTTAAAAGCCCCCTTAGTGTATAAGTATTTCAAGTCAAATTTAAGCTTGAACAAAAAATAAAAGCCATCCCCATTGAGGATTGAGGAAATACTTGTTAACTACCTCTCAGCACAAGACAAGTATATCACAGGACAAGTATATCATTCCACCCAACCACAAAGACCATATTCTTTCACTTCTCTTTAGCAAATGTATTTTTCAACAATTACCTGTTGAGTCCTATCACCATGGATGGTTGTTGCTGGGAATCCATTAATGCACAACCAATGTTCCAATGAGTCAGCTCCTTTTTTAGTCTCCACAAAAACTAATGTCAAAGCTTGCTGCAAATTAAAGGAAACACCTATCAACAACTATTAATTATCTCAGACCTATAGATTCAATGAGATTAGATACCAGAATTAGCACCTGAACAGTAAATATTTATTAAAACAAATATATCCAGTAATTAACTTCAATCCAAAAATATATGGATAAAGGAACTTCAATAAGCAAGTCCATACATGACAGTCTCACATTACCTTGCCATGAACACCATTTTCCCTCTGTGCATGCAGAAGATCCATGAGATGGCTTCTCTTATCAGACTCGAGAACAAATTCAACCCTTTGAACAATCAAATCTGTACTTGAACCAACCCTTCCAACAGCCAAGAATATGTAATTTGAAAGAAAATCAGATGCAAGTCTCTGCACAGCCACCAATTTACAAAAAGAATTATGCGATGTAATTTGGATAGTCTTTCTTTTTATTATCAAAAACTCACTATCATCTTAATTGCATTTGACAATTATTCTAAAGTAAAATTTAAGGTAAAATAATATTTTTACTTCTTTTGGAATAGTAAATTTAAATTGAAATAAGTAACCCCACCCAACCATTTGGTGCGTGAGCTAATGCCAAGGGCAAAGTCAACTTTACTCCGATTAATTTAACAATTTCCATTTTCTACAAAACATATATAAAGATAGCAAAAAGAATTCAAGCCAGTACCAAAATTATATTCCAGAAGAACATGAAAATCAATTCACAACTTGAAACACATTACAATTATAAGTGCAAAGCATGAATGGAATATCTCAAGAAATAGCTATAGCCCACAGAGAAACCCTATTTAACAGTTATAACCAACCTGTATCTCTCTTGGAAAGGTTGCACTAAACAACATCGTCTGTCTCACACCCCGGTTAGGCATGTCCATTTGTTCCACTATCTTTCTGATTTGTGGCTCAAAACCCATATCAAGCATGCGATCTGCCTCATCGAGGGCCAAGTACCTAATCATCTGCAATGACACTCTAGCCCTCTCTAGCAAATCAACCAACCGTCCTGGAGTTGCCACAAGAATATCAACTCCTCTCTCCAGCTCTCGCAACTAAGTATAGGACAAAGCATTAGTAAACAAAAGAAAAATGAAAATCGGGTATTCAAAGGTGGGGATTTGTAAGAAGACTGATAAGCCAAATGTCAGAAGAGATATTTAGAAAAAAGAGGAAAAACAAAAGATCCCATAACAACATAAAAGTGAAAAGTCAGGCAACACAATAAGATATAGCACATAAACAGAATTTCCTTGATACTTAATCTAAACAGGCTAATATCCCTATTAGCACAATTCAACCTAATCACATCTTCCAGGGAGAATATATCCAATAACTTATGCACAACAGACTCCTCCCTCTCACACCCCAGCTTAATGAGGATGGTACTGTAATTAGACAAAAATGAAAGCAAACTACAACACATTTGAAACAAACCAAGAACTAATTGAGACAAAATCAGCAATCTATCAGCACCATTGTTCCTCCCATCAATACATAGACCCCTTCCCTTTTGTTAGTTCCATTGGTAAAGAAATACCAGAAAAAAAAAAAAAAAAACAACATAAATTTTGGAAAGAAATCCTGAAACCAATTCCAATATTGTGATTAATGTCAAAATAAAACAGATCAAATTTGTAGTACAAATAGATATAAAATAGAAAAATCGATAGTTCAGCATGAGACATAGTAAATAAGAACTATACATGTCAAATAATACAGAACAAGAATGATGTTCAAAACCTAATTTAATGGAATAACAACCTGTTGGTTAATTGGTGCTCCTCCATAGGCAACTACAACCTTGACACCAGTTTGATACGAGAACTTTTTGGCCTCCTCGTGTATCTAAAGCATATAATTATCAGAACAAAAACACATTAAACCATTCTAAAAGGCTACATGCTCTAAGAATCTCACCTGACAAGAAAGCTCCCTCGTGGGAGATAGAATGAGAGCAAGAGGGTAAACAGTTCGTGCTACACGCGGTCTCTGTACATACTGCTCCCGCATAATTCCACTAATAATTGGAAAGCAAAAAGCAGCTGTCTTCCCTGACCCAGTTTGAGCACAAGCCATCAAATCTCTGCCTTCTAATGCTATAGGGATAGCGTGACGTTGAACTGGAGTCGGTTTCACATACTTGCACCTCCTAATGTTTTGATTCAACAGTTCCCCTAAATCTATCTCAGCAAATGTATTTACAGGCGGTGGTACATTTTCACCACTAGTTTCCACCGGAATATACTCATAAGCATCGAAATTGATCCCCATATTCTCTTGTTCACTAAACGCTTGTTCCCTAACATCAGCTTCATCATCATCACCAAATGGGTTTACTTCCCTTTCTCTCCTATCCCAACCTCCACTTCTCCAACCACCGCCGCTGCCACCTCGTCCAGTACCAGCATAGCCATAACCCTGACCCGGACGCCCCAGTTCGGGCTTAGTCCCACCGCCACTCCATCGGGACCCACCAGCGGTCCCGCTAAAACTTGCCCTCTCAGTAGCCGGACCTGACAGGTTAGGTGCGTTGGAAGCTGCACGGTTTCGAAGGTGGGGCGGGACATAAGTGGATCGAGCTGGACGAGGTAAGGAATTGTTGTCTGAAACTGCAATTTCAAATGCAGAGTTTGAAACAGAATCTGCCCATGCAGTTCTCATAATTTCCCAAACCTAAGAAAACCAAAAAATAAAAAAATTCTAACAAAAACCTAATCGAACCAAAATTTAAGAAAAGAAAAAAAAACCCAAAATTTTAAATCCTCCAAAAAGTCTTCTTATCCTCTCCCTTATTGTAGATCAAACCTGATCAATGAAAATGCAAGCAAAGTCAACAAATAAAGATCAACAAAGAAAACATTAAATAAATGCAATTAATTAACCCAAAATTTTGCTAAAAAAAATGAAAAATATCATGAAAATTCCAAAAAGAAAATTCCAAAGAAAAAATATTAAAACAAAAACAACGAGAATTGATGAGAGAAACGGCAGAAACCTTGCTGGAAATTCTTTTTGAAAAATGGGATCAGAAAGCTGAAAAATCGAGTGCCTTGATTTTTTAAGGTTTTGAAAAATCAGATCAAAGCTTTTTCTTCTTTGGTGTTTTCTTTTCTTTTCTTTCTTTTCTTTTCTATTCGTTTCTCTGCTTTTTCTTTCTGCTTTGCTGTTGCGTGCAGGTTGCAGCTACAAACGAGAGAGTGAGAAAAAAAATCTAAAAAAGGTATTTGGTGACCGTACAATCTGGGGCTTGCGTCATAATTAAAAGCTCCCCAACGGCCAATGGCTTCTCAAATCCATGTTTAATTATGGATATAATAATAATAATAATAATAATAAAGTGTTCAAGTTAATTTTTAATTTGTCTAATTATAAAATGATCTTATTTAAGAAATAATAATCTTACCTGCTTTAATTAAACAAACATATTAATTCAGTTTTTTTTAATTATCAAATTAAGTATAATCATTTATTTAAAATATTATTTTTTAAAAAATAATTGTATAAAAAAATCGGAGTTCTTCTTTGACCGATTTTGACTTCATAGTTAGATTTCCCATTTTGTCAAAAATAATTTTTTTGATGTATTAAATCATTAACTTTATCGATGAAGCTTATAGCTTTCATTTTTAAGAAGATAAATTAAATTAAATATATAAAAAATCATATAAATCATTAATTATTATATCTATATTATTTATAAAACTTCTTATCAAATTTAGCATCACGGGTCAATTAATACTAATTCAATTAAAAATATATATAAATGAAAAAATACATAACTATTAAGAAGGTTAAATTAGTAATTCAATTTTAAGAGAGAAAATTCAATTTTAAAATTTAATTTTTTTATTAAATTTAATAATTTATGTATTCGTATTATCTAAAATATTAATAATTTATTTAATTTTTGTTAAAATTTAAAATTATATTATTTTTATTTATATTATTATCATGTCATATAACTCTTTCGTATTTAAAATTATTAAATTTATTTTTTATTTTGTTTATATGTGTATAATAATTTTCACCTACCTAATGGGTGTGAAAAAGGTTAATTTTAATATAAAAATATTACTATAATTAACATTTAAAAAAACATCACATTCATTAATTAAACTCTTATCTTATATATAAATAATAATTTTAAAAATATACTACCATATTTATATAACTGTTACTTGTGAAATGTATTAACTAAAATAGTCTTTGACAAATGCACTATAATTATATTCTAAGTATTAAGTTCGAAAGAATACGGTTCTTTGAAAATATAAAATAAAAAATAAGAATATAACTCATTTACAATTTTAAAAATAAAAAAATAAATGAAAATGTAAGTGTTAAAAAAATTAGATTTAAACTATATTGTTTTAAAATGAAAAGTTAAAATAACCTCATTTATTTATGTTTTGTTATAATATGATGAATTTTTTAGTAACTTTTTATAATTAATTAATTAATTAACTAATTAATTGCTATAAATTGTGGTTATGTAAAAGTGAATGAGTAATTACTGTCGGTGAATAACTTTTCCGTGTGTGTGAAAAGGACGAAAGATGCTTTAGTGGTTTTTACTGTTGAGTGGGTATGATGGTGGATTTGTTAGTTCAATTATTCTTCTTCCTTCCATTGTCTGGCGACTGATTGTAATGGAAGACAGGCCAAGCTAAAGAAAATCTTTACTAAATCTTGGGGTAAAAAAATAATAATAATAAGAGATTGTAATATTCAATTTTTTATTTGATTCAAGTTTAAATATTAAATATTTTTATTAAATTTAAATTAAATTTTGAATAAAAAATAAAAAATAAAAAAATATTTGAATGAATTATATATTTTATTAATTTTAATATATATTTTAAAATTTCAAAAAATAATAATTTTATATTTAATTTTATTTAAATATATTAAAAATTAAATTAAAATATAATAAAAATTTAAATTTAAATACTAATTAACTGAATTTATAAAATTTAATTAACATCATATTAGTTATAATTAGAAGTTGATTTAAATTTGGATCAAATTTTAAAACTTTATAACATTATATATTATTTAAAAATCCGAATAAAATTTGATCCAATTTAAACTATTATCATCCCTAATAAATTTTATCCAAAATTAACTTTTCTCGTATCATTTTATGCAAAATGTTGTTACCTTGTTATTTTATCAAAATAATTTTTTATTTAAAATAATAAAATAAATTTGTTAATTTAATATGATAAAATATTATTTGATATATTAATTTTTATTAATTTAAATTATTTATTAAAAAGCACAAATAATTTTTTATATTATCTTTTAAAAATTTTATGAAAATAAAAAGCAAACAAATGGATGAGGATGGAGGAAATACTTTTTAAATTTAATGAACTTTTATATATAAACATTAATTAAAGATAAAATTATAATTTTACTACGTAAATTACTTATTATATAAAATCAACAAAGCAAAATATATATTTTCATATGATTTATATAAAATATTATTATAAAAATAAAAAAGATTTTATATTTGTTAATATATAAATATTTTACATTATTAATAAATCATTCAATTGCATCTCATAAAAATTATTTTAAAAATTTGTAAAGTTATAAAAAATGCACTTAACTCTAAACATAAATTTAAAATTAATTTTTTTACAAAAATATTATATAATTCACTAATATCACGTCATTAACCATCATCTTCAAATATAAAGTCATAAAAAAATAAAAAAACTTGAAACTCAGATCTAAAGCCGGATACTCTCACGCTTCATGCTCCACTCGCTGTCTTCTTCACGCGCTCTGTCATTTCGTTTTCGTGACAGAAGCAAGCGAGCCAGAAAGAGAGTGTAGAGAGAAAACGAAAAAAAAAAAAAAAAATTGAGACCAAAATAAAAAAGAAAATTTCCCAATCCAAACTAGGGTTAGGGTTATCCCTAATCCGGATAACGATTTCCACGCTCGATTCATCCAACTGATAAATCAAAGATGGGCGCTAATCCGTCACCAACAGACCTAAGCTCTGATCTCGATGAGCAGATCTCGCAGCTCATGCAGTGTAAGCCACTTTCGGAGCAGCAGGTACATGTTTTTTTTCTCACGATCTGTTTGTTTCCCTATAAAGTACGGAAAAGGTTGAGGAGTTAACTCAATAATATAATTTTTTTTATAATTTTTGAATAGTCGATTAGACTCTTTTTGGCTGCGAAATGAATATCCGAAACGATTTTGAATTGAATTTGTTTTAGATATTATTATTGCAATATTTAGTACTAATTGTTTTGCCGTTTGAATAGTATTAATTGTAGTACAATTAATAATTGTCAGTAAACTCTATTTGTGTTACCTTGTTTAGGTCAGAGCAGTATGCGACAAGGCAAAGGAAATATTAATGGAAGAAAGCAATGTCCAGGTTTATTATTTTAGTCTTGCTTGTGTTTAGTCTCTAATATCAGGCATCCGTGATCTTTATGTGTTTATTTGCCGGTGTATTTTGGAGATGTTGAGTTTCCTCATCCTTGAAGTGGGAAAATGTTGATTTTTTTTTTTTTTGTCACAGCCTGTGAAAAGCCCTGTGACAATTTGTGGCGATATTCATGGGCAGTTTCATGATCTTGCAGAACTCTTTCGAATTGGAGGGAAGGTACTTGATCTGATTGTGACCTTTTTCTTTGTATTCAGTTCTTATGTTTCAGCTGAGGGAATGTGTGAAATAACTAGTTGAGACATCAATGTTTTGAAGATCGGAGCTCTGCAGAGGTATTCTGATTTAGCAAATGTCACTGTATTGAGAATAGTTTTAGATTATGTTCTTCTGAATGTGTTAAATGTAAGCTTTTTGTCTCTGGGACTTTCATGCATAAGAGTTCTGTTTTGATAAGAGATTTTTAAAATTTTGTACCTCATTTAATCATCAGATAATGACCTTACCGGTGTCACTCGGGCATTCTTAGGATTCATTACAACTTAGCATATGCTTTGGATTCCCTCATTTGTTACACAATTTTGCTTTGCTTTCTTCTGTGCTCATGATCAGTCATTCCATTGAGCCTATGCCTTACAGTTGGTTTATCCTAATTGACAGTGTCCAGATACAAACTACTTGTTTATGGGAGATTATGTGGATCGTGGTTACTATTCTGTTGAAACCGTTACGGTATGTACATGTTGAGTTACAAATTTCTTTTTCTATCCTTGTCATGGAAATTTGTTTTTAATTTCTGCTAAAGTGTGGTCTAGAGGCAGAAACAATGTATTATGAAGAAATTTTGATAAGACTTTTAGGGTTGTGGCTGCTAGCTGTGTGAATGTATTTGGTCAGATCCTCCTATCAGCACCTGAAAAAAACACCTGTCCTAGTTTAATATCGGTAGCCAGTAACACTATCAATTTGAGATGCCTTTGCCTTTTGGAAGATTTTCCTTTGGATGGAGTTTTGAGTTTAGAGTTACTTTATTCTCTTATTTAGCACTTTTAGTTCTCTGTCTAGTGGAAGCATCTTTGTAATTCAGGAGGAATATGATGGGAAACTTTTTTTCTGGTGGTTTTTATCACTACATTCCATTTCAATGAGAGCATACTCCATGCTAGATTGATGCTAGATATTTCTTAAAACATGAGTCAAATGATGTTGTCTACTATTATTTTTCCGTTCATAAAGATGCATATTATGTTATGTTCATCAACAGTTTTGCATTTGCTAGCATAAGCTTTGTAAATTGAGATCAACAATTATAGATATCAATAGCAAACTTAAACCTTAAATGCATTCCATTTGGATGATACTGATTTTTCTGTTTTTGCTCTTTCAGCTCTTGGTGGCTTTAAAAGTCCGTTATCCTCAGCGGATTACCATTCTCAGAGGAAATCATGAAAGCCGCCAGGTATGAAGTCTGCATCTTATTCCAGCCCTTCCCTCCTTGTCCAAACACATGTGCATATACACAGACACATACACAAAAGATTGACATTTTATTGTGTTATATTTTGCATATGAGTCATAACTCAGAGTTTGATATGAAATTTTGACCAACTATATTAGTTAATGTCAAGCTAATTCTTTAGTCATTCCTTTTCTTTTTGGCAGATCACTCAAGTTTATGGGTTTTATGACGAATGTCTGAGAAAGTGAGTTCTGTGAACAACCTTCATATGAAAGGATATAGTATTATGAGCCATAGATGTACTAACTTTACTAAATGACTTATTCTTTTTCCTTTTTCTTTTCAATGATATTTTTTAAACTACTCTTTTTTCCAGTTAAGAAAATAAAGTGGTAGATTTGAGTTTCTGGAGGTATCCCTTTCAGATAAATTGTAGTCATGTAGAGACAATATAATTGCTTTTTCTCTTGCTAATCTGTGATAATACTTTTTCTGCTGATGTACTTACAGGTATGGCAATGCTAATGTTTGGAAGATCTTTACAGACCTTTTTGACTATTTTCCGTTAACTGCTTTGGTGAGTAAAACTAATACAAGGTATATTTCAAGTAATAGCAATGTAAATTCAAGGAAAGAAAGAACTGAAGACATAGATATCGGCCTTAGTCTTCTTGGTATTTGACCTTTACGCTTATTGGGTTTCTATTTCATTTAGCTTTGCAGTTGACTATTATTGTTGTCCTCCATTCATACATTTTATTGTTGTGGTATTAGTATTATAATCTTAGTTTAAAATATGTATTCCTATTTCAGTTTTGGAGTTTGAATAACTCGCAATTTGCCTTTTTGGTCAGGCAAGAAAATTTTGGGTTATAGCTTTCTATCTATAATTTCATTGTAGAGCATATTGAGAACATTTTAAGCAGAAACTAGAGGTCTCTTAGTTCCTGCCTTAAAAATGGCTTCAAATCTTTCTAGAATGTCATTGGAAGCAATTGGCTTTGTCTTGTGTTTGTTTAAGCTAGATTAAAGACGCTGCTAAAAATTTTCACAAATATGGTTTTCATTGCACAAGATTAATTATTTAATGAAGATAACCAACTTTGTTACTATATTGTTTTAGTGCTGGTTAAAGAGATATGCAACCTTTATAATGTCCACATGTTACCTTTGTACCTCATAGAACTGAAGTGGAAATGATGGTAGTTAAAATGATTTTGGTGTTTCCATTCACTGATGTAGTGCAGTTTTCTTCATTTTAGGTGGAGTCAGAAATATTTTGTCTGCATGGTGGATTGTCCCCTTCTATTGAAACCCTGGATAATATAAGAAACTTTGATCGTGTTCAAGAGGTTCCTCACGAAGGGCCTATGTGTGATTTATTGTGGTCTGATCCAGATGATCGATGCGGTTGGGGTATCTCACCACGTGGTGCTGGATATACTTTTGGCCAGGTAACTAGTGTTCAATGTGACCATTCTTTGACAATTTGTGGTTGCCTTGTCTTTTTTCAGTTTTTTAATAAGGAAATGTTACATTCTTCTCTGCAGGATATATCTGAACAATTCAATCACACAAACAGCTTAAAATTGATTGCTAGAGCTCATCAGCTGGTTATGGATGGATTTAACTGGGCCCATGTAATCATGATTCTCGAAAGTTAAATTATTACTCTCTCCGTCCCATATGTCATTTACTTTCATAGAGTTCGAGAAAAAAGCTTTGGCTTTGGTCCATATAATATTAAATTTTGAACTTTTTTTAAAGAATTTGAGGTTTCATAATTTTTAATGCAAAAAGTAAAAAAAATCATGAAAAATAGTTTTGGAATAAAGAAAAAGAGATTTAGTATTAAAAAAAGAAAGACATAATTTTGGGACATCCAAAAAAGTGAAGGGAGACAGAAAATGGGACGGAGTGAGTATTATTTTTGCTTGTATGCTCTCTATAAATTGCTTCCTGTTTTGAATTCACAATTATTTCCTTTGAACAGGAACAAAAGGTGGTTACTATATTTAGTGCCCCAAATTATTGTTATCGCTGTGGAAACATGGCTTCTATCTTGGAAGTTGATGATTGCCAGAGTCACACATTCATCCAGGTCTCTTGTCTCTCATATCTCCCCCTTGTCCTCTCTCTTCCCTTCCCTCTTTTCCTTTTCCTATCCATTCATGCATGTTTGTACACAAATAAAAGGTAAAACAGCAACAGCTAACTTCTGAAATTGAATTCTTGGATGCTTTTTGTGTTTGTAAAATTGTTAAGTTCATTTTGCTGCAGTTTGAGCCAGCTCCAAGGAGAGGAGAACCTGATGTTACCCGTAGAACGCCTGATTACTTCCTCTGAAGCAGCTCTATGCTTTAACTGATTCAAGATACTCTACTTTCCTCCTCTCCTCCCTCCCCTTACATAGTCAGGTAGTCGTGCATCCTTTGGCGAAGTCTGTTTCATCTACTACCTACCTGTTTACATGTCATGCTTATTTTGGTGATGATGAGCATCAAAAGCATGTATACGAGGCTAGGAAGATGGCCTTTAATCTTACACTTGGATATTCTGTCAAAGAGATTGCCATAGCGGATGAAAGACTGACACTGACAGAATGTATTGATTATGTAGATTTTTGTGTTTGTTTTGATTTTCTGTTTCTCCCCTCCTTTTTTTATGGTTCATCCGATCTTTTTGGGTTCTGTACCGGAGATGGAAAAGTTTAATATTTAGTGGGTTTTCTATCTTTTTTCTTTTACCACTGACTCAAATGTGGACATTCAACTGCTATTCCGTTTCTTACGCCTCAGCTCGATTAATTTGAGTTATCATTTTGTGTTTCTTTTTCCCTCATTTATCGATAATTGTCACGTTTTTTGGATAAACATGAATGATCTGATGCACGGATAAATCATAGAATGGGACTGGGGATTTTGCTAGAATGATCTCATTTAACAATGGTTGAGTACCCTATAATTGAGTTCAAGCAGGATCCCTCCCCCTAGTACCAAAAATATGCCCTCCCTCGAGTTCGGAGCATGATATTTCCTGTCAGTCACCAATAAATTTAACTTTAAATTGGACCTTATAATTACAGATGATTTTTCATTTTTAATCTTACATGGAATATTGAACTACACAATGGGAGGTAGTCCTCTCCAGCCCTATATGAGAATTCCAGATCTCCAAGATGAAGTTTTAAGCTCTAACCGCTTGGACGTGCCCTTTGGGACCATTTCATTAACACATTAAAAAATGGAGAGTTCAGTACTAAACAAAAATACGATTCACAGATTAGCTGCCTGCAGCATTAAAACATGCTAATCATGTACTACCAAGGACAAGCATCACAATCTCAGGTAAGAGAAGAGAGTTGGGACGAGGTCGACCACGGACCATGCAAGGCCTGCATATTGAATGAATCTAATGCCTGTGTCGACGTCAAATAAATCTTGGCGAGAGAAAAATAACATCTTATGGATATAACCTGATTGCTTAATCTCACTGGATTTCTTCTCAGTAGCTGAACCTTTAAGCATGGGGATATAGCTGGTTGATTTTATTGGGATACCCAACGTATTTGATACTACGGGAAGAATCCATTTTGCAAGCGCCTTGCTACAGAACTTGACAATCAGGATTGTTGGTATCCCAACAAGCATTCTACCCAAAAAAGCAAGGATTGTCAGTTGCGAGGTAAATATTCGTGGAACTGCTTCATGGTGGAACTGGTGGTACGTCTGCTGAATCCCAGCAACCTGGTTGACATTACCACTTTAGGTTATATGGATGAATGTTAAAAGCATAATCTTTTGTCTCTGTTGGGTGCAGTTGAAAGAGGGGAGGGATCTATATATTTTCTTTGGTAATGCAAATAGGAATGACAAACTTTTGTTTCTATATAATGGCATTTATTAAACAAGAGATATTTATATTATCTGAATAAATGATGCTCACTTATCAAGTAACATGCACGTCTTTGCACTGCTATGAGTAATTTTGAGTGAGTTCCTATAAATACAAAGGCATTAATTATGATGTTAGTAGAGTAGTTGATCATTTGATCTATTTCGTCTACAAGGTATTGTGCTTAACTGCCTATGGAATGGAAGAACTGAATGCAATGCCACCCAGATGAAGGTCCCGTTACCCAGTAAATTGATCTAAAGTTAATACACTAGGTTGAATAGGAAGCATTTCATAGAAAAATGAATGCTATCTCCATAACCACATTCTATACCAAAAATAAGGCACAGATTTTTTAAAAACACCCACCACATACTTTCATAACTTCTACCCACGGCATTTGGTCCATCTTTTCTATGTTGTCATATATGCTGATATCTATTTTATTCATTCTAATCATATTTGTCAAAATGCAGAACCCTCGCTTATAATTACTCCAGATGAATCTTCTAAATGATTTGAAAGCTTCAGAAATTTTCTTTGACACAACAACCAGCATTCCCCTAAGTTAGGAGAGCAATAAAACTGTGAAAACTTTTGATTTTCCATCTAATCAGAGGCTTTCCAGAGGGAAGCAAAGGGAAATTCTCTTTGTTGTGCTAAATCACGCAAATCCTAAGTTCCTAAAAGAATTTGAAAAACCAAAGCTAACTATGATTGTACTCAATAGATAAAGAGTCTAATATGGTAATTCCATAAGCTATTATATACCCTGAAACCACCCCTATAACATCTAATAATCACCTCTAAATACCTCTAATCCTAACCATAGATGTCAAGGTTATCAGTTGTTTGTCAAGCATGAAGTTTGTATAAGCAAATGATGTGACACAAAACAGTACAGACCAACTCTGACATTTTCACCGCACAAGCAACAGCAGCTAACTTATTAAAACAGGATAATATAGTTTTTCACCAGAGACCGATACATGTTTCGTACTTTCTTAAATGAAAACAATGCATCTCACAAATATCAATTCCTTGTTTTCTGTGCCTATGGCTATGATCTTAACTCTATGCATTCAATAATGTTAATTAATTATTAGAGACAGTAATAAGTGAAAGATGCATTCACTATAACAGTCCTGGTGATAACAGAAAGTGGCTAAGAATTGTTTCAATGCTATGCGGATGATCAATTACTTACAATTCCAAATGCAACACCATTGAAGGCAGCATGATACTCAAAACTTGGAGTTGGAAGCTCAGGAGTGGGATAAGCAAAAAGTAAGAGGAAGCTCAGGGCAGCCCAAAAGGATGTAACTGCAACAGGAAAAGTAAGCATAAAAATATTGAAAGCGTGTATTATGCTTCAACATTCAAATATTCAACTAGAACCAGGAGTATATATTTTGTTTCAAGATTTAGATTAACAATTGTACTTTGTAACCTAAAAAGCCATTGGTCATTTTAATCAACAGAACTGAGGGCAGGGAAATCGAAGACTTGACTTAACTACCCCTAAAAGTCCCCATCTTTACAGGAACTACAACTCAACCTCCGTAAAATGTCTCTTCCTACAAAGATCACTCTATCAAATGGAGTTCTTATCCCTACCAGGAAAAAAAATCTATACTTGTTTTAGATCCCTATTCATGTAATTGGATTAATAACGATTCAACCTGCTGAAAGCACAAATGTGCCAACAATAGGTTTACTTACCATTTTGTCCAGAGACAATAAAGCCATCTGCATATTCATGAACTGTTAGCCACATTGCAAGAATCACCAATCCAATAGCAAGACCACCAACGATATCAATCAAGCTGTGCATACCAAGGTAGATCCTTCCTACCAAGGAAACAAAATTCGGTTAAACATTTGCAATAAGGAATGCTAAGAGTACTATCAAGAATTTTTTAAAACAATTAAACTTACCAAAACCAATAAGGGCCACAAGCAAGCAACCAAGGGTGATTGCAGGAAGTTTCACGCAAGCACCTTCACTCTGTGTGTAGGATAGAACATAGTATAGAAGGTATCTGGATGCAAAAGCATAATAATTTAGTATTAATTTCAATTCTCAAGAAAATACCGACTGATGAATTGACAAGTAAATATATAAGAGTACTTAATTTGTTGTAAATGATTGGCAACCCATCAGACCCATGATTTTTCTTTTAGTTTTCCTTGTTTACCTGTCCTATCAACACATGAGGATTATGAGGTTGCCAACAACAATATATCTGCTATGTTCCCAGATTGTTGAGGGGTTTCTTGACAAATATTGAAGGGTTAATAAGAAGTAACACTCACACCTGGCAGATATCCTTGAAGACTTTCGTCTCAATAATTATTTCTAATGATGTTTTGATAAAATATGAATCATATGAGCTAGAACAGCAGTAGATCAAAAGGTTTATGTAAATAGGAAACTTTAATACCCTGATAAGCATACTGTGTTGAGAGTATGAGAAGAAGGCAATCCATATTCCAAGGCATTCTCTTCTTCATCTTTTGTGGCTGTTATCCTTCTAACGGGAGGGCAACTGGGTCTAGGAGCTGACACCACATCCTAAAAACACAGACCATCAAGCAGAAACCAAATAAAATATTAGCTTAAAGACTTCATTGAAAACATTACCACCAAAGAAATGATAAAACCATGCAAGGAGGGGAAAAAAAAGAAAAAAAAACCTTTATGCAGTTCCCTAAATAATCACAGAAAGCCATCAACAGGGTCATCTGCCTAGCCAATTTTCCATGCCCGCTCTGGAAACATCATAAAAGAAATACCCGATGAGAACAATTACAAATCAAAACTAACCACAAAGAGAAAGAGAGACAGATACATACCCAGAAAAGCAAGGGAAGGAAGGCAGTGTAAAAGGGCACAGAAACTACACAGGACAACCCAGAGAAGAGAGCATCCCAGAATTTATGCTGATATTTCTGCCAAAAAAAGAATAAAAATAAAACCGCCAAACCAAAAAAAAAAAAAAAAAACTCACCCAGAAAAAGCTTAAAAACCAACAAAAATAGAAAAACCCAGATGATCAAAGAAAAAAAATGACAACCAACAAAAATAGAAAAACCCAAATGATCAAAGAAAAAAAATGACAATCTGGGTATTGTTTATTTCGTTCCAAACCTGGATCTTGAGGATGATTGAAGTGCCCGTTACAACATGGTGAGCCACCCAAGGTTGTAGCAAAGATCTAATCTTTTTGGTTACATTGAAATATGAAGTTATTACAATCCATGAAAAAATTCCAGATAAAGCCAATCCTTGCCACACTGCAACAGTCTCCATTCAATCTCTCCTTCTCTTTGTTTCCCCTCCTACAAACGTGCGATCAGAAGAATAAACAAACCAAAACAATCCAAAGTTTTGAACTTTCAAACTATTAGAAAGACTTGGCCTTGGCGAGGAAACTTAGGCAGAAATTGGCTAAATTTTGTTGTTTTCAATTTTCCCCTCACCAAAAAAAAAGAAAGAAAGTGAGCTAATTAATAATTTGGTTCAAATTTTGTTCTTTAAAAAAAAAAAAAAGAGAATTTTCTATTGGGTCCATAGCTTTGTTGGACTTTGGCTGGCAGTGAGAACGGTCAGCAATAACACGGGTGAACATTCTAAACAACTAAAAAAAAGTTAAGACCACACATTTGACATGGAGCATTGCATGCTTGATTCCACCTTTTAGGTTCCCATTAAATTAGTCAACCTTAAAGACAATAAGCTGTTGCCGGTTTAGCCAACTCCCATGTCCTTTGTTCCCTAGGTATTTATGTGTTTGCTTGTGTTAATAATGGCATTTGGATTTTTTTTTTCCTTTTAACGCTTTCTTTAATTGACTCAATTGATTAAAACGTTTTAATTAAAGATTATTTATTTGATATTTAAAATTATTAAAATTAATTTTAATTATTAAAAATAAAAATTACGTTCAAGTTTAATTAATAAATCACATTATTGTTGATGAAATTTATTTATTTTAAGATTTCTAATATTTTGCATTTTAATTGATTGAAAAATATTCACTCTTCTTAAGGTGAAAAACATAATAGAATGGTCCTCAAGCCTTTAATTTAATAATTAAAATTGTTTGAGAAAACATAAAGAACTTAATTTCGAATTAATTTTTTTTATTTGTATTAAGATTTTATCTTTTTGATGTAATTAAAAAAATATATAATGAAACGCATCAAAAGTTTTATTTATTTATGGATTTCTTTTATAATTTTTATAAATTTTAACAAGCACAATGTAATTTTAGAAAATTGAAAATACTTAAAGCATATGCCTATATATGTTTTATCTTATCTCTCATGTACGAAAATGAAGTAGGAAACGAGATAATGCTAAAGACTATGTTATTCACTTAATTTATTAATCTTTACGTTACAACAATGTTTTTTCAATTTTTTTAAGGTGGATTATTGCGTATGATAGATTGTTAAATAATATTTATGACTATTAATAGCATTTATCATGGTGGCTAGCTAAGTTAAAGAACTTGAACAAATTTGTCTTCTTTTTTATTAGAAAGATTGTTTTATTAAAGATTAATTTAATTTGAATTAAAATTTGAATTTAATTTATTTATATAATTATTTTTAAAAAATGATATCTGACAAATTTAAAATTTAAATTCTAATATTTTTACACTTTCTCCTATTTTTAAATTACAAATTCTTTTGTAAAAAAAAATTAATCTAATTTTGAAAACCAAAACTAACCTATAACAAAAAGTTGGTTAGATATAACATAGATAAAACTTGATAATTCGCATATTAGTATTATATAAAATATTAATGATTTATATATTTATGTTATATTTTACATAAAAATTACGTATTATAATTTATATCGATATAAAAAATAAAAATATAAAATTTTATTTTTATTAAATATATAATTTTTTATTTTATTTTAAATTATTTTATTATTTTATATTATATCATCGTATTATATTTTAAATAATCACATTAAAATGAATTTTTGGTGAGTTAATGGATCATAATTTCAACCTTCTTAAAAGTTAAAATAAAACGACTGTTAGGTTGGTTAAAAATTCAAAACAATTAGAGGAGTGTTTGTTGACGCCATTCAATTTTGACCAAATATTGGTGGCATCTAAATCAAAGGGGAAGGAAAGAAACTGTTGACCATCCAAGTTCATTGTTTTCATTGCAAGCAATGGGCCCTATTGCACCCTTGTTTAGTTCATATAAAACAAAACAATTACATCAGATTTTTCCAACTAAAACTTTGTTTATGTAATCTTGATTTAGACATTAATTTGGGCTTCCAAAACTGAGTTTTTTTTTTTTTAATGTTAATTCAAGTTTTGGGGACTCTGGCAATTAGTTCAGCTGCCATTACGATGAAGCCAGACCAGTCAATTTCAGGTTGAATGTTATATGATAGAATCTGGCAGTTTCTTTCTTTTTTTTTTAGAAAAATCGGACCAACTCATTCCACCAATTTATGTTCTAGCCATTTTCTTCTATACCCGAGCTACTGATTCGTATTTCGACGTGCCCAAATCTCAGCTCGATTGAAAAAGCCACTCTCACAAAACCTTGAACCAATTTTACCCTTTATCTTAATGAGGAAGTGCCATACATTGAAGCTTGAGTAGATGGCTGCTTATCTGAATATATAACCTCAACCAGCTTCTGTTTATCCAAGTGATTAAGCAACTCGATTTTTTTTTAAACAAATTTTAATTTTAAATTTTATGAATAAAAAAAATAAACGTTGAAAAATTTTATTTTTTTATAAGATTTGAATGATTAAATTTTAAATTAATTAATATCTAAAATAATTATCGAACATTAAAAAATTATAAATAAACAAAAAATCGAATAATTAGAAAAACTAAATCAATTGCTTCCCTGCGAACCCTTTCGCTACCCTTCATACCCAACAGTATATGCCTCAACTAGCGGGTTCATAAATAACTGGAATCTCAATTTGTTTTCCTCTTTATGAAAGGCTGATGATAATTTATTAATCCAAAATCCAAGGTTTATGTCACTGTTTATCCAAGGTTTTAGTACTAGTTCATTAGAACTTGGCAGGTTTATGTCCTTGGAGACAGGGATGTGCTTGTTTTAGAGTTGCGACAACTCATGGTACGATTGAAAGTAATTCTACTCTTTGTGGAGTTGACGGGAGAGATAATTAATAATCGTTATAGCAAAATTTTGAGATTTGGACTATAATTTTCAGCCATGGTATACGGGGCAGAGTTAACGTTATATATATATATTATTTTTAATTTTTGACTATACTTTTGTGTTTATTAAAGATTCATTTGAATAAATAATGAGATAAAATAATCATAGAATTAAAATTAATTATTGTAATAGTGACATTAAAATCAATTGTAAGATATATATTTAACAATGATATTAAAATTACTATAATAATAATAATAGGTGAATTATAGTGAAAAAAAATGACATTAAGGACATTGGGAGTTTATTTTTTATAATAATTATAATATTAATTAATCAATCATAATTTAAATTGTATGGGATCTATTAAAAGTTTATATGAAGCTCATTTTTATAAGTGATAAACTTTTACATAAATTTTAATTGTGATTGAATAATTATGAAATTGTAATAAAAATAATTATACATAAAATACTCTTAAAGATATTATATTAAAGTTTGTATATAATAAAAAATTTAAATTATTTACTTTTTAAAAATATATCAAATAAATGCCTACTAATATTTGGATCAAGTGACATGCTTTTAAAATTAACGTTTGAAGGTTACGAGTTTAAAAGAGTTTATACATATAATATCATTTTCAACCAAATAAGTTTAATATATAATGTTCGAGAATAAATGACAATTAAAAAAAATATATATCAAATAAATAATTTTTATATGTATTTATTTAATTTTTAATTAATTATTAAATAATTTATTATATAATCATAAAAATTTTATTTATTATATTTAATATTGGAAATTATTTTAATATTTTTAAATAAAAATTCAAAATACAAAAAACAAAAGTTAAGTATCATGACATTTTCATCCCTATATTACAATCTTAAAAGTAAAAAAAATAAAAAAACCTTTCCTTTCATCCAGGGATGATAATGAATTAGATCAAAACATATTTTTATTTATTTTGAATCAAATACGATTTTATATTTATAAAATTCAAACTCAATCCGATTTTATATTAAACACATATAATTTTTATAAAATTTTAAATTATATTATTTTATTATTTTTATATTATATAATCATATTAATCATGTTAAAAGTGAATTTTGTGAGTTAATGAATCATAAATTTCAACCTACTTAAAAGTTAAAATAAAAGGGACTGTTAGGTTAGTTAAAAGCTTAAAACAATTAGAGGAGTGTTTGTTGACGCCATTCAATTTTGACCAAATATTGATGGCCTCTCAATCAAAGGGGGAGGAAAGAAAATGCTGACCGTCCAAGTTAATTGTTTCATGTCAAGCAATGGTCCTATTGCACCCTTGTTTAGTTAATATAAAACAATGATAATTACATCAGATTTTTCCATCTATAACTTTGTTTATGTAGTCTTGATTTTGACATTAATCTGGGCTTCTAAAAGTGAGTTTTTTTTTTTTTTGTTAATTCAAGTTTTGGGGACTCTGGCAATTAGGTCAGCTGCCATCACATGAAGCCAGACCTGTCAAATTTAGGTTGAATATTATATGATAGAATCTGGCAGTTTCTTCACCATTTCCATTGTTATTGGAGCCTAATTTCTTTTTTTTTTTTTTAAGAAAAATCGGACCAATTCTTTTCGATTGAAATATTCTAGAGAAAATTGGCTTGGTTGCTTCAAAAAAAAAATTTTTTTTGGGGGTTAGACACAGATGTTGGAAATTATCTTTTACTATAGTATTAAATAGTAGCCTAAAATCACTGCTGAGATGAATAATCATACCGATAGAACATAAACAAGCTATAAGAAATGTGTTTGCAACAATTTTATGTACATTTTTATTGCAAAAAATAATTATCACGAAGACGGAACTTTGTATTACTTGAAGGGGAACTATTCAACCATGTTCCGAGGAAGTTCGACTTCTAAAGCCATCCAAGCTCTCATTCCACCACTTTATCGCTCCTTACGTTTTGCAATAATTAATTTTTGTATTTTTAGATATTTATTTAATACAAATTTGATTAATTAACAAACATAATTTATTGGTCAACAAAAAATAAGTTCAATTTTTTTAAAATTATCTTAAAAGAAAATATATTTTTTGAAAATAACTGTTTAATAAGTAAAATTATT